TGTCTGCTTCAGTCGAAACCCTGAATCTGGTATTCCTATCATAGCAGCATAGTCTTTTAGTGGACGAACCTCGTTAGCCTCACTCGGTAGTTGGGTCGAGGAACCGCTCTTAGAGCATTCCCAACAATCTTAAGACACCTTTCCCACTGGTTATCCTGCCACACATGTCTCTGCCTCGCCCAGGATTTGATCTCTGACGAGTCATCCAGCCACAGAATGCAACCTTGGATGTGTTCCGACGTGGATGGTACAGGTACTAGGCGAATAGCTGACTTGAAACGAAACCTACTTCCCATCAATTCGACCCAATAGTGCTCTTCGGCCCCTACCCGACACCATGTCACGCCGTTGTCTTGAGGCTTCAAGACACTGGATTTCAGACGGAGAGTCTATCTAGTCGCCAGAAAGAGACAACAATGCATGTGTGAGACTACATGATAGCCTAGGTATATCGCTCCACCCCGAACACCCGCAAGTAACTTTTGAGAGTCCGACAGTCTGTGGCCTGCGAGAGTCTGAACCCACCTACTCCTTCTCAACCATAGAGTACCCCCCCCCCCCCCCCCTCTCAAAGGGAGCGCTAGAGCCTACGCCATACAGACACGGGACATCGTAGAAAATAGCGTCTAGGACCCTTCTCCCATTAGAGCTCGTCTTGTGATTGGTGTCGCCGAGGGTTCCGAACGATACGAAGCGAGGATTAAGGGGCGCTAGGGTCGCACAACAGTAGATTGTCTCAAGAGTTGGCAGCTGAAGAAAAGCCTCTACTCTACCAGTTTCGTGGCTTACAGTGAAACAATAAGCGGTCAGAATGAGTTTGATCCTCTCAGCTCCCACAAATATTCTGTGCCTATCCGCGGACATCGCAAGGCCGAGGCGGTCGGCTGGCAGGCCAGATACAGATGGACTGAATTTCATCACGAAAGCGCATGGGTTCGAGTAGGTAGTGTCAATTGTATCAAACCTGAGGGACTTAAGTATGATAGATGGCTCCCTATTCCATACATAAAACTTGGGACATCATGTAAAAGTAAGTGGCCCGAAATCGATGGGGGGAGCATAGCGACTTCAAGACTCAGCGGTGCCTAACTCTCCAAGCTTCTGCCCAAGTTGACCATTAGCCAGAACGTTCCGGGAAACTTCGATGTTTCCTCCTGACATAGCCCAGGTCTTCTGAGGGGAGTCTTAGGGACTAGTGCTCCGTACTTAGCGGACACGCTGGTGCATTCCGAGGAAATCAAGTGACAGACGGGGGCTTCTGCGAGGTAATCTTAATGATGTTAGCCCTGGCGAGGATCGTCCTGTTCTTACAACATTGTCCGCTTTACCCCTGATGACCCCTATAACTAAAAGAAAAAGGAAAAAAAGGCAGCGAAAATCCCACGATTCAGAATATTATTTAATGGAGGTGAGCTTTCTTCCACATTTGATGAGAGGCCGGCAAGTAAGGAGGGGATCGTTACACAACTTGAGAGTGAGGAAGTCGGATTACTCCGGACGAGACAACACTGGCCCAGCGCAAGGTCTACTTGTTCAAGATGCTTATCTTCTCGTGGGAACGAAGCTACTGCAGGTAAAGCCTGGAGAAGTTCGGGCCAATTGTGTCACTTATTAAAATTCATCTTCCATAGGGGCTGTCGCAGGTGCTATATTGTGCGCTGACGGTACATGTCATTTGCTCTCCCATGTACTGAGTAGAGTCGGCCGCCGCTATCTGAACAAACCCCCCTTGTCTTCTCATCTTGTCGTTGTGAGGATTGGACGGTATACACGAGAAGCTAGACTGACGGGGAGAGGAATATATGTGAAGGCGATCTTGGCATCGTACGGCCAAGTCTCAATTTCTCAAAAAGCTGCAGCGCGATTGATACCACGGAGACTTACTAAGATCTTTGCATGCAGATGCTGGTTGAATGACGAGGCCTCCTTAAGCAAGGGAGCTGGAAAGTGACTAGTAGACAAGGAGGAACATGTAGCTATTGTCGGCTTGAGTGGCGGAAATGTGGTTGTGTAACAGCGCCCTGTCGTCACCGCGCCACTGGTATTTAGCTGAAGGGACTGAAACAGCACATCACTCATTGCAGATTTGATGCTTTCTACCCGTAAACGTGGGACAATATGCCAATCCTCGAGGCAGCTTTGTAGATTGTTGGCTTGTTCAGCTTAGCGGTGGGGTGTACGGATACGAACCTTGGAGCGTTAGTGAGACAGATGCCAGTGGTGCCAGCCTTCCTTTTTTCTCTTTCCCCCTCTCAAGCCCTTCCATTCTTTTTCTCCCCGAAACTTGGTGACGGATAGACACTGTGGAAGAAAACACTGTGTAGGATCTCACGTCCGCATAAGGGATGGGTCTGTTTTCTCCTTTGCCATCCTGCCAACATCAGTGTCACACGTGTCCACTGTCAAGGTGATGGAATTACACTAAGAAGAGGGGCGAACTGAGGGCCGGGGCGAGGCACGAAGGCTCGGGGCGGCCCTGGTGGCACATCTGGTGGTACATGGTTGTTGCTTATTTCGCAACCAGCCGCGATTTTTCCATGTTGAGTCTAGTAGCCTGCCGCCAAAGGAGCACCCGCCAAACACAGCCCGGCATAATGGCTGGTTATTAGTTTCTGCATCTCCCAATCTCATTCGAAGGACGGATTGTTCGGATTTGTATCCCTATGCACAGCCCTATCAGATATGTGCCTTCGGCGGCCTTTGATGCAAGATACGAGCAGCTGTGCTAGGGTCATTGCTCTCTTTTAATCTGCTGTGATGTTTCCTCTACCCTGAGTCCGAGATGCCAAGATTGCATCATGCATGATGGTTTCCGTACTTTCGTGTCGTAGCACCATTGCAACTAGTGGTCTTCTGGGCGAGATGTTGGGCGAGGCTCTCCTGTCTCCTGGAAGGCCCAGATATATTAATCTCATCGACAAGCTGACTGTCATCAAGTTGCTCCCATAGATTTGGATTGCCAAGACCACTCCTTGCTCTCAACTCCCGAATCCAGATCTCAAGCTCGTGGTCTTCTCGGCCGAGTACAATTAGCCCCGGAATTATGCCGGATTGATGAAACACAACCTCACCGGAGGTGAGTCCAGCTCTCCGAATTACAATGCCAACCTGGATTGGAATTATTACGCGAACGAGACAATAGACAACGTGAGAACTGAGAAACGGCCGTAACTTCACTGACGCCCGGGCTGAAGCCGCAGCGCAACCTAAGTACTGACCCTTCTGAGTTCACTCTAATCGGGAGTTCTGCACGCACACTGCCGGAGATCCGTCTAAGGCCAATAGACATGCAGAGGGCGCATCACACTATGCTCTATCCTTCTTGGCATGGACGGTGTTTCTGGACTGCAAGCCCCAAGTTGTCACGGCCCGTGACGCGGGGCATGGGTGGGCAGAAAAAGCAAGAAGGCAGCTTCATCTGACTTTAATCCTGATTGTGGCACTGTACAAATAGAAATGAAACCATGGATAGCTAACAGTCCATCCAGAACGTTCCCCGGCAACGCGCCTCTCCCATGCCTCAGTTATATCAAAGAAACGCTATGCTTGCAGCTCATTCTCTAATATACGGAGATACCGTGCAGCATCTACGGAGTACCCAAGATGCCGAGAGCTGCAAGTGTTTGGATGCTCGTCATTCTAGATCGAAGGGCTTGACTGAATTCCCGGCGTCACACGTGGAAGACGTACGCTCGATCCACGTGAAGGCGTGAAGTTGGACCCAAAAGGCTGGCATCGTTAAGAGAGGACGAGATCGTCCATCTGAAGCGAAGAGATAAAGATGTGGTGTACTCCGTACACATAGATATTCAGCTGGAAATATTCAAGGGTCTGCCGACGACTGGTCCGTCTCACCGTCCCATGTTACGGCAATATCCCCGCAGGCCGCGGCCCCGCCCCCATGTCATTGTTTCTTCTTCCAGCTGACCGATGCCCCCACACCGGTGAGGTTGTGCATGCAATGCCAGTGAAGTGACTGCAGACAGAAACTAGCACGCCTCGATCTGCCTGCAGCATGGTGGTTCTAGAGGCCTTCGTCTTGGTATGCCCCCTGACTCTCTCACCCCTCCCATATGCACGACTTCCAAACCAATCTACGTAGTAGCATCTAAGTCAGAGGTCACTGTGAAGATCTCATTGACTGGAGCATAGTGACGATATAGTACTGACTGGATCTAGAATGTCCGGGTACTTACTCTGCCATCAGAGCTCCCCCGTACAAACGTCTGGTCAACTATCCGTATACTGCCCTGAATCTCTGATTCGCCCGAATACTCATGAACTGGGTACAATTTCAAAGCGTTGGACAGCCTCGGGCACGAAGGCGTCAAGGAGCAGAGACCTCAAACTTGGCGGTGGAAACTTGATGTTCGCAAAGTTGACATGTAGCTTTTCATCCCCTCCTAGACATTCCAGTCACCTGGGTACACCCTACATGCACTTGTTTCTACCGAATATCACATCGGGGGTGGAGAAGTGTCTCGCTGCCCATTATTCACGGCGACAGATCAGGCAGGAAGAGTGAGATACTGTCAACGTTGCACCCTGACAATCCCTGTGAATCGAATTGCGAAAGATCTGACGAGAAAGGATATGGTAACCCCCGGTCCACAATGCTTGTGTAGCTTACAGATGGATCATTTCTGTTGAAAGTGAGATCTGAGAGCTGAGGCTACGATGGGGCACACGGAGCCGTGTTTCTACAACTCCTTGGCTAGAGGGCCGCGGAGAAGGGTACGATACACGCGTGCTTGCAGACGAATGCGAAAGAGAGTAATTACTCGATCCTCGAACCAGGAGTCGCAACACTTTACGATACCAAGCAAACCACGAGCCAATGAAAAAAGAATTCCAGGCATGCAAAAGCAATGAGTGACAAGTATCCTTGTGGCATATGTTGAATATGCCCCGACGCACATCCTCAAGCGCCCGCCCAAAGGCATCACATGCCCTCTCCGAAACGCATCGCCCACCTGGGTCTAACATGTAACGATAGACGGCTAGATCGCGGTCCATCGCAAAAGTACTGCGGCAGCAATGACTGGAAGAACACTGACCAGTTCACCCAACCCCGCAAACTCGGGCGGAATCCTGGCGTTGACAAATGCGCCAGCTCCGAGGAGAATGGCAAACAAGTTGTACACAAAGCTACAGCAAAAGTTGAAGGTGATCCTGTGAATAGCCTTCTTGCTAATGGCAATGATGGTGAGAATCCCCCTAAGACTCAGACGCATGAGAACGACGTCCGCGGCAGACTTTGCGACGTCGGTTCCCTCGCTCATGTGCACGCCAATGGTGGCCTGGGCCAGCGCAACTGCATCGTTAGTCCCATCGCCACAAAATATAACGACTGGCTGTTTCGGATTATTCTGTCTGGATCCAGAACTGTTCGAAAAAGGTTGAGACAGGAGGTTCTGGATGTACTCTTGCTTGTCTCCAGGGGTGCATCGGGAACGAACATTGAGATCAGGGATACCCAATCGTGAAGCTGCTGTTCGAACGGCACCATCATCATCTCCGGAGAGGATGTGAACAGAGATTCCGGAAGCCTGTAGAGTTGAAATGGTCTCATGAGCATCTGTGCGGATAGAGTCTTCAAGGCCAAAGACAGCAACTAAAGAATTATCAATAGTGAAGCAGAAGGTTGTATAGCTCTGTGATAGGACTGATTGGACTCTAGAATCATTTGAGAGACCAAGCCAACGCGAGTTGCCAGCTCTCAGAGTAGCTCCGTCAAGTTTCGCCTCTATACCCTTGCTCGTCAAGGTTTTCAGATCCATAACGGCTGTAGGTGCATCATCGTTTGCCTTGAGATGAGTGAAAACAGCAGCAGAGACTGGGTGTTTGATAGTACCGACGAGTCCGAGAAGCAACGATCTCGTAGTCGCTTTATCTTTGGTAAAGTATGCCTCATGCGCAACTCTTAGTTTTCCAGTTGTAAGAGTTCCAGTTTTGTCAAAGACAACGTGCGAAGTCTTGTAGGCAAGCTCAATGCTGTCAGCGGATTTGAAGACAACCCCCTTTTCGGCAGCTACACCGCTCGCAATTAGAATGACCATAGGTACCGCTAGGCCTATAGCACATGGGCAAGATACAATGAGAACGGTGATGGCGTATGTGACTGCCTCGATAGTTGCTTCAGAGCCAGTCTGCCTGCGTACAGTGATGCCAACGGCGATCCAGATTGAAAAAGTGATGATTGTGATGGCCACAACTACCGGCACAAAGTACGTTGCGACTCTGTCAGCAATGTCCTGGATTTTTGGCTTAGAAAGCTTGGCCTCGTCGACCATCCCGGCGATATTGCTGATGGTGTTGTTGCTAGGAAGCCTAGTTAGACGAACGGTAAGAGCCCCGAAGCCATTGATTGTGCCCGCAATAACGGATGATCCGGTAGTCTTTCCAACGCTTCCTGGTTCTCCGGTCATCATTGACTCGTCAATTTCCGAGAATCCTGAGATAACTGTTCCATCGGTAGGGATTCTGGAGTCTGGGACAACTTTGAAGATATCTCCGTACTGAAGAAGGCGGGCGTCGATCTCCATGTCTTCGCCAGCTGCGCTGATAATCAAAGCTGTCGATATCTGGAGAGATCGTATCGAGATGGATTCGGCGGCTTTTTGTCGCGCTAAAGCGCTCACATACCGACCAACCATGATGAGAGTTACAAGAAGGGTGCTTGTCTCGAAGAATTCGCCAGTCGAAAGGGGTTTGTGAGAGACAAGAAACCCAAATGAGACAACGGAGAAGATGTACGCAGCACTTGTGCTGAGTACAATCAGCAGGTCCATCTCGATGACCCTCGAAAAGATTAGACTCTTCAAAGCTTTTGGGTAGAAGGGCCCGGCGATTGCAACTTGTACAATCGTCGCCAAGGCCAGAGATGCCGAGCCATAAGCAATTTCTCTCTTTGGAAGGGGTGCCCAGGCCATAATGAGAACGGGAATAGTTAGGATAGTTGAAATCAGTGTGATGAATCCCATGTTGCGAATGTGCTTACTTCCAGCCTCCAAAGAAGGGTCTGTTCGAAGTGGCGCCAGAGTAAGAGGCGTTTCCCAGCCCTTTTCAACCAGATCGCGGGCTCCAGCGACCTTCGCATCAAATGCTACACGGACACTAGCCTTGTCTACAACGCGTATGTCTGTGACTCCATTGGGCCATGGCTGATTGATGAAGTCCTGGGGATCGCAAGGGCAGAGGATGTCAACACTGGCAGCACCCTGCGTAGTAATCTTTTCGCATTTGAACTCTGTGGTTCGTTCGAGATGCTTGATGACTTCATCCACCGAGCCAGCGCCGATGTTCAAGTCGAATTCGGCTCTCGCCAATACCAAGCTGGTCTTGAGGTTTTTGACTGCCTTCACTGTGGCCAGAGTTCGCCTGAGCTTGGTTTCGCATCCAGTGCAGGTCATACCAGAAATGCTCAGAACGACGTGTTCCTTGCCAGCCAGGCCCCGTTCGACATCTTCGCTGACATTCTTGGACTCTTGCGACAACGGTGGGTTGGCAGGTCCTGGTGATGACGTATCGCAACAAGAGTCAGCGCATGATCCAGCGCATGATCCAGCATTGCTCAAAGCTTTTCTCGGAGGCCTGGGTTTCGAGCAGCAATCATCCTCGCATGCATTCGATTTGATACCAGGGCTTGAAGGACGAGCAAGCTTTTTGCTGCACTTTCTTCCCGCCGGACTAGAAGGGAGGTAACCCATCCTGGAAGCGCAGCAAGAATCAACTGAGATGCGATGAATAGATGCGGACTTCTTTGGATACTGCTCCATTTCGATGGAGGAGCGCTCACGGGGAGCGCAGCAAGATTCCTGGCCGAGAGCTAGAAGAGCACGACAGATACAGCCCAAGGCATCAAGCTTTGACTGGTAGATCTCACGAACGCTCCGAGAGTGACCTCGGCATGCCTTGCCGTCTCGGCCACCAGTGCAATTATTATCAGCGGAGCCTAGGGCGGGTTATGTTAGCAATTAGGGATTACAACCTGTTTGGAGAGAAATCACCTTTGCGCAATTGATGTGGGTTTGGCGACATTCCGTTGGTGCATTCCCGCAAAGCGAGGCGATCGATGCAAGTAGAGTCGCAGCAGGGTGAAGTCTTGCCCTTACAACAGCTGGGTGATTTGTCTCCGCGAATGTCAGGTGCAGAATTAGATGAGCAGCATCCCTTTTTGCCATTGTCTGAGCAGATCTTTGGAGCTTCATCACTGTCGGATTTGTTCATAATGACTGCCTTGTCCGCAATCGTTTCAGTTGGCGTGGTCTTAGGACTGTTGACCGGTCTTTTTTCCTTCGCCGAGCCACAGCATCCTGACGAGCAGTCCTTAGTTTCTGGGACACAGTAGTCCTGACTGGGTTCGGGAGCATTGGCGGAGGCCGCATTAGACTTGTAGGAGAAGACGTCGCGTTCAGATTGGCGATCAACGCCAGAAAGTTCCTCTGAGAACTCATTGGCAGACTCGGCGATGCTGTTGTCTTGAGCGCTGCGTACAGTAGCTTGATCGTTCTGAGACTTGCAGCAAGCGTCCACACAGATGTCTACCTCGACCTTTGGATGGAGCGCAATAATCGTCTTCAGCTTGTGCCGAATCGATGTTGCCGTTGTTGGACGCGGCGCAGCATTGCTGGAGAGCCGTGTTTCCAGAGGTTTGATCCCTTCCATGATCGGTATCATGGCATCCGGCCACCTTAGTATCGGATACGACATTCAAATCGCTCTCTTCGCTTTCGCAGCAGGTGTCGACGATATCAGGGACGCCGCTACCCGATACACTTGGGAGCGGGGCGCTTGGAGGAGGGGCGTCATTAGCGACAGCTTGATCCCGAGCAGGACCGCAGCAGCCCGATCCACAAGCCATTGGAGAGTTCTTCAAAGTAATAGTGCGATTCTCCTCGTTGCTCTCAAATTGTGGTTGTGACTCCAGCGTTTGATGGGACGCGTAGATGAGATGACACGCTCGCGGAACCTAACGGGAGCTTCCGCAGGAACTGCGGGTCCGGTCTCGGAGGCACGTGCCCGGAGAGGTGGATTAACTCAAATCCTTGTCCGGCCTGCTTTGGTAATTTTTGCTCCGGGATCCTGGCAGCTACAAGTGAGGTGGCGGTGCATCTAAGGGATTGGGGCTCCCAACTCTCCCCTCATCTCAAACTTCGATGCAAGCTATGGCAAGTGAGTTTGATGGATGGAACCAATTGACTTCAGATTTGATTTGATGCACTAAAGGATTTGGTTTCTGAATTCTCGGAAGTGGAAAATTACGCCTTGTTTTCTCCTCTGTCGCTGCGGGCAAGTACAACATGAGGTATCTTGAACCAACTTCTGCTGATGGCGAATACGTGAGCAGTTATCTTTCCCAACATTGTCATCGTAAGTAACTTAACAATATACAAGATTAGGATGTCATTAGGCTCTTCAATTCAATCGAGAACCCCCACACGCGATGATCAACAACTTGTTTTCTTTTTCAAGCCAAGGCCGTTTCCTCAAAGCTACTCATTCAACTCATCTCCGGAAGACTACCTTAGCGGGCCCTCACAGACTTTTGGCTCTTCTTGCTTGACTTTCCAGAGGATGACTTATGGCGCTTAGAGCTGTACTCCAGCTCAACCCTGTAAGCCGCGCCCCGGCTTGCTGAAGTTAAAGATTCATAAGACGTGTTACTGGGGGCAGATGATTTGTACGAGTTGTTGCTTCTTGAAGATGAGCCTGATGTGGATGGTGAAATAGTCTCTTCGTTTTCGTCTACAGGGGGAAATCCATTGATCTTGGATAGGGCCGAACCTCGGCGATGAGAACGGCTAGAAGAGCCGTAGCCAAATTTGCGGCTGGCAGTCCCCTGACGGAGCTCACTGAACGTCAAATCCGGGCTAGTTGTTCGGGTTGGGACTACACCGATCGGTCAGTTTCTTGCGCAAAAGGTACAAGTTGGAGGATGATTAAACTTACGGTAACGTGCACATTCCGCACAACATCCATGATCGCAAGTCTCAGACTCATCAACAGTGGCGCCGATGCCATAACCCGATGTGGCTTTTGGCATTGTGCACCAGCCTTGGGTATTGGGACCTTGACTGCACTGACAGCAGGTCCAGGTGCCACCCATCGCCTTGAATTGGCAGTTGATCAGAGGACAGTCGACATTGCTGGGCTGGGCGGTTGCATAGCTCAAATGTGAGCATGGAGTCTCTACACCTGTTTCAAGGTCGATCAGGGCCGAGGGGCAGTAGTGCCAGTTGATCGAAGTATGCGAGCAAGGGTGCAAGCGAGGGTGACCGTGACACATAGTGAAAGATGGCGATGAAGTGATGCGCAGATTTGTTGACACTTGACGGCGTGAGCACGCACGCACGACTATGGAATATCTTGGAGTAGAAGAAGAACGACTTATGGCGGTGAGTTTTACTGGAATAAGTCAACCCAAGCAGCTTGTTGCATCTTATATACTTCATTTTTCGGCTTTTTTAGTCACCTTTATTTACACATGACAAGGCCTGTACAAGATAACAGTATTTCCATGATCAATGTTCCGTCCAAATTGCCGATGAACGCCTCTCTTGGTTTCTTTTCTCATATCTACTGACACACGTTCACTTCTTGCCAACCATCTCGAACACGACCCTCACTTCATATCTCATCTGTCATCATCTCTCGCTCACCGACAGTAAGGGTCGTGGTACCCTGGGTAAAACATGGCCCCAACTGACTGTTCCTAAGAACCCAATGTCTCGGGCTGCATACTGAATGGTTGGTTGGTGTGTTGCATCCAACTTGAGGATGCGGAAACATAAGCCAGGCAGCCAATGAAAGACCGAGTTTATGCGGCCAAAAGTCTCCCAACACGCCCTGTTCAAATATGGGTGAAGTCCCCGACGGATAATGGCAGCTTTGTGTTACAGCGATCCACCTGTTATTGTAACACGACGATCTCGGCCATCACATGTGTTACGCGGCTTACATCGGATCTATGGAAATAAATTCCTCCACGAGTGGTTTGAGCAGCGGATGAAAAGCCCGCCCTCCTGGCGCCTAGGTCCGTAAGATCTCGCTAGGAATTTTGACTCATGACTATCTTGTATTGGTCTAAAGGATGGTTGCACGATGATCACGATCCTTTTTCGGGGCTGATGATAGCCCCTATACTTAGCCTCGCCAATCGGCTGCTTGGGAATCTGAGTGGCCGGAGGAAAAGTGGCGTGAGTTCAACGTACGAGTGGTAGAGGGCTGGATCGGAATGCAAGAGTGCAGGATCTAAGGTTAAGTTGGGTAGCTGCTTAAGGTAACCCCTGTTGAATCTATCCGATCACGATCTCGAGATCATGTTCAAGTGAGGTAATAACAAGTACATGATCTGAGAAAACCATGCGGGAACGCGGCACAGCAACTTGTTGTGATGAGATTTTAATGAGTTAGGAAGATTCAGATAGATCGCACAATGTGTGAGACAATCCAAGGTCTGAGATTCTCCTGCAAGCACCCATCGCCACTAGCGATGGCGATGACTGCCATTATGAGGTATTGTTGATTAACTTGATCACTACAGAATTATTAAAGAGAAAACAAGTGGAACCCAACATGTCTGTCCCGTCATCCTCCAATGATTCATTATTCCCCTTGGTCCAAAGATACATGTATGTTGTCCTAGCATCCAGCCAAATGATGAACTAATGCAGAGTCTTCGTCCTTCTCTCTCGCCCCCTCAAATAAAAAGACGTTTATTGCCACATGCCACCTAATCCACTATTACACAATCTCTTTGGAAGGTTCAACCATCTATAGCGGCAGTACACGTCGAGCAGCAAATATGTTCGCAGCGATACTCGTTTCCGTCAATGATCATGATGCAACTGCACCTGCCTCCATCATTCCAACCCTTACCACACCAGCAGCAGTTCCAGCATCGATTGCGGCTTTCGTATGGGCAGTTCGTCAAGGGGCACTTTGGTAAGGCTCGCTGGTCATAGCCTGGAGGGGGGGGATAAGCAATGTTTTGCTGGGTGACATCTTTGCAAGTCTTGCGCTTGGAGGGATCTCTTTTCGAGGATGCAGTTGCTTTTGAGCAGTATTCGATTTGAGTCTGAATATGCTCGCAGGGCAACTTGAACGCTATCGTATGGCACATGCTGTCTTGCCCCGAGGTTTTCGAATATAATCGTGATTGTTGATTTCAGGATCTCGCAGATGAAAGTCTAGAAAGATGGAGGGGCTGGAATTGATGAAATGCAGCTGGGAGTTTGGAAGCTCAGAGATGATGTGATGCTTGATGATCAGATGATACTTCTTCTCCCTGGAATATCAGTCGACCATTCTGAGGATTCTATCATAAACTATATACTCAGAGTTTTTGGATAGAGATCAACAGAAACAGGAAGGTTCGGCGATCTGCTCCGACCTGTCGGTAAGCATGTTGAGGCGGCCACGATTTCCTCCCCTTCCCCTGCCGATCAGGAACCACTGCATCGGGTCTCAAGCGAAGGCTTTGGCGGCCTGTTCGCGAGAGGCGAGCAAATGACTCGCAATATGCATCCAAGATCAAATAGTTTATAGGGTTATTGAAAGAAAAACGTGGCAGCCAGGTCTGATATGTATCAGGGACCGACTTCGGACGCATTGAACCCCGGAGCTGGATCCGTACCTACTTTTCGTGAGAAAGAAATCGCAAAAGACACTTCAGTCAGGCAAACGTGCGAACCATCTGTGTGAAACACGCAGTTGAAAAGATAGCATCTCGATTGGTCTATATTGTTTCATTTGTTGCAAAGGCTCCCAAGACTCTTCGTCTCCATCACTGAGCCTCGTCCGTGGAGCTGGGCTCGTGGTGACCAGCCAGGAAGCAAGTTGATCGCCAGGGGGCGCTCTCGGCCGATGACAACACCCCCTGCCCAAGGTCATCTCCAATTTGACTGGTCTTCATCCCAATCCATGTACGACCTGACATCAGCTGCTGGACTAGGGCCTAAAAGCCTAGACTCTGATATCCATTTTTCACGGCCCATGAAGAGCCGAGAACTTGGATGTGGCGGCTGGTGAACGAGCATCGAGTGAAATATGGCGCCACTTCTGGAATAGCAAATCGTCGGTCTGTTGAAAGATTCCAAATCACTTTTGCAAACTCCTCGTGTATTCTTTCAGGTCTCCACATCGTCGCCTATCAATAGAGCTGGCTCTGCGAATCCCTTCAACCTGTCTTGCTCTGGTGCCGTCCTCAGAACTCAGGTGTTAGTGTCCGCCGTGCAATTTCTGCAAACTCGGTGGTAGCAGAAAGTGTCTGGACTCTTCTTCATTTTGTGTCGACACCAGCGAAGGGTGTTGCTGCCTCTGCTGCATTGACAGCAGGTCCAATAGCCATTCAACTCTTGCAAACGGCAGCTGCCAGCGCTACAATCGGGAGAAATAAGACAACCTCCGGTTGCGCAAGGATTATCAAAATCAACGTTCTGGACAGCATTGGAAGTGACCATATCGCAGGGAGTCTGGAAGCTGCCATCTGAATCTCTTCCAGCATCTATGCAGAACTCCCAGTGGAAGACATTGTCAATCGGCCGAGGGCACGGTTGAACATGATGATGGTGAAGGTAAGACCAAGTGCACATGGTCGAAGTCCTTGAGCTGAGTTGAGAGATGCTGAGGTAGGTTTGGTTTCCACAAGGGCTGATGCCGTGTGTTCTTCCCCGTTTAGGTATTCAGAGGTAAGAATGTATCGAAAATGTCGAGACCAGGAACAGAAAGAAGTCCTAGACAATATGCGGAGACCGATCTCAAGGACAGGAAATTCCGTGGTTTATCGAAATATGACGTGACACAAAGATGCGAGCTCCGGACAGATGTTTTGTGTAAGCAGTGGGAGCCAAGAGACGGATCGAGATATTGCGGACTCCAGGCGAACTAGGTTTACTGACTTCGATGAAGCTGAGTGTCGTTCTGGGTCAATTTATGAACAGAATTCCGATAGAACTGGTTCCCGCAAGTGGGCTGCATCTGCCAGATGAGATGACAATGAGTTGCTAAGTAAAAGCCAGGTGACTCAAGGAAGCAGTTTGATGTTGATTGGGACGGTACTCTGTGATTTTTGATGCTGTTGCTGCCAACTATTTCTGACACCTCTAAGTGCAGATATGAACGCTCTTATACACGATATTATTTGACTCTTCACCAGTTCCCTGCCGCCCTTCACATCTGCTTCTCGCTGGATTCAAGGATTGGGAATCTGGCTCATGCCAAAGCCCCAGCTGGTCATTACCACGCTGTTGGGCCCTAACCACTTCATCTCTCAGATGTTTGCCTCATGGACCCTGGGAAAATGGCACGATTTCTCTTTCAGGCTTCAATAATTGGCCGCCATTGTCAAACCCATGGGTCGCATTCCTGACTGTCCCTCCGGAGAATGGCAAAGCACGTGGCTTGCGCATGCTTACCGGTCTTGCAACCAGGGTTCTCTTCAATGTGAAGTTCCAATGATACCAAGAGAAATGAGACACAGAGACACACTTTTGTAACAATGCACAACTTTGGAAAGATTGCCTTTTCGTCGCCCATATGGAGGCCACATGAGATGGGCATGGCAGTCAGCCACAAAGGCGCTGTTCACCCTAGCTCCCACGAGTTGCCAATCTCATTTCCGGGCTACTGGTCCCGATCTCCAAGGCTGTTTGGACTAGCGATGATATTTGTTGATCATCGTGACGTTCGGTGGTGTTCTGGAAACCCCCTAAATTCTGAGCAGCAGCTTTCTCGAAGCTGAGATGGGACAGCACCATGTACCCCAGAGATGCCTTGTCACAAAGTGGATGTACAGCATTTTCGTGTGCTCCCGGGCCTCACGCTTCAGTTCCACGAAGGACTGCTTGCTGCCAATGATGAGAAAACGTCAATTCTTCCTTGTCAATGCCAGTGTAAGAGATTGATGACTCAACGCATTTGATTCGTGATCACGTCGGCTTGTTCGAGGAGGGAAGAGGGGTAAGCACAATGAGATAACATGACGTACAGAGTAGAGGGCTCTCAGCCTGTATCCGATTATTCCCTTTGGCCCTGCCTCATCGACAGCTGTAAGATGTGATTCAATCTTCGATTTAGGTCCGGGATCGAGATTTAGATGTTCACTAGCAGGGTCGAGTTACTATCGATTGACTCCCATGCATCACCGGCGTTTGGCGCGGTTAATCAGATCACACATGATTTAGTCCACAGTCTTCAGCCCGAAGTTCGCGGCAGTTATGTGTTCCAATTACGGGATTGCACCATAGATAACGGACATCAGACTCTGTTGGAATATTCTTGCGTGATTTTGGCGCTGCTATTGGTGACCACCAACGGTCCCGATATTCGAGACTCAAGTAAGAGAGCTCGTACAAGGATCCTGGCATGTACCAGCTAACACGTTCATTCAGTCATGCGGGCGCAACTCCAAAGAGATGGTCTAGCCAAAGTTACAAACATAAACCAAAATATACGACAACAGTGTTCGGTCAGTTCCGACACAGAAGGTCAAAATACTGTAAGGCACGTCGAATTGATCACACATTACAAGGCGCAGCTGCTTCTGTGGCTGTTTTAGATGGTGACACTGCAGGGGATCAGCAGGAAGTGCGATAAAGGTCTGGCAAGTCATGCAAGTTAAGAGTAGAGGCCGCGGATGGCTGGTATCGAGGCTTCCTGGCGTATTCTCCTGGTGCCGAGAAACCGGAATTTCATTCTTCAGCGACGGGGTGGCTGAAAAGAGACACCAAACACCTCAGGCAAACCTTATCTCACTTGATGGACCGAAGAATCATGATCTTGTTCCTGACCAGTAGTCTTGATCGAGTCCTACTATCCTAGGGCTTTGACCTTTCGCGTATTGTTAGACATCGGGTCGGAATACTCTTCCAAATTGGGAATTCGTGCCGAAGATATATCATTTGAGAGCACATCCGCCTACCGAGACTGAAATGCGGCTGTTTCTTCCCGTCGGCTACACAAGGTCAAGCATTGGCGCCACGGTTACCAGCAGAGCCGGGAAGGCGTAAGGCCTTCCCCATTGAGACGCGCCTATATCAACCAGAAGGACTGCTGGAGCCGAGAAAACCACGAAAATATTCAATAGCTTCGCTCCTCGAGCTAAACGAAAGCTTACGGCCGGAGAAGTCGGAGGCTGCTAGGCTTCATGGGAAGTTGAAGCTTGAATTGAACGAGATGAGGCTTGAGATTTCAACACCGGCTGTCACACAGAAGTGTCTGGATCAAATTGGGGCAATGTTTTGGGGTGGCACAGAAGGCCTAGATCTGAAAGACTGAAGGTTGTACGAGTGGAAGCCCTGAAAGTCCATGTCTCAGTAAGCGACATTTAGCGCCGCCATGGAGAGGCCAAATGATCGGGAAGTAAAAGGATTCGTCAGTAAACGATTCATAACGCCTAATAACGACCGAGTAGGTATAGCAGCTCTATCCGCAGCTGTTTGCTAATGTAGCTTTGGTTTACAGAGTACTTGCTCTTCATACTAGTAGTCTGCGCTTGTCAGCAGCATGTTACATAACCTACGCGAGGCAGGTACGACTGATCAGACAAGCGCATAACCAAATGATAATACGATGACATATGGAGGGCACATTCTCTTTGAAGCTGCGTGTTGCGATTGCTTAGTGAAAAATAGCAAATTTATCGGTCAAATCTTCAACGCACATCACCTTTCATGAGAATCATCGACCGTGTGTCCATCTACATCAAGTGTCTCCAGATTCTACTACAGAGCAACCCAAGGGTTATGTAAATGTCATGCAATCATAAGCTCCTGGATGATTCACGGAAATCTGAAGGGTTGCTAAGACATTTAAGCCCCTCATGGTCTCTTCTTCGATGGTAGAGGAGTGAGCAAGACAGTTCACCGCTCCTATCGCACTCGTATTGGTCTGGAGTGCAGCATTGGATGCCCCTCCCGAAAATCAGCGTGGAAAACATGAAATGGCATGATCGTCAGTCAAGGGAGCTCTCCATGAGCCGTTTGCATTCCAGACTTTTCATAGGAAACGCCGATCACCACGTTCCTCCCCGCATACTTCGTCTGAGCCATGTTAATGAGACTCAGCTAATAACAAGCGTGGAGAGCTGGAAATCCTCAGCCGCTCCACGAGAACTGGACGGCAGTTGACTGTTCAACCCCTCGCCCGCACCCGTAGTTGCCGGTGGTTGTCTTGCCGCATCTAGGCAAGTGGTGATCCACGGTTTGAACCTTCTTAACCTTGTTAACTTGGTGTTGTCTCAGTACGGAGCGGGGCACAACCAATCACTGATATTCCCTTACTTGCCGGCCCGTTCCTTGGGCTGGGCCAGCGGCTAGCAGCATCAAACACGGGCTCTTGCGCCGGTCTGATATCACTCTTATTCCTCTTCATGCGAGTGTTTTCCCTTCCAAGATTCCCCAGCGGTACTTTGAAGATCACTTCTTGCCCTTCTAAAGATGTATGCGACGGAACCAATTCGGATTACTAGAGTAGCTACAAACATCATAAGGTAGTCCTTAAGAAATATCGAACATGGAAATCCTCTCAGCCGTATTAGAAGGTTCTGGCTCGAGTGAAGATCACCGAATCTTATCCCTCAGATGACTTGGCGGAATCCCGTGGCGGTAAGCATTTCTAACAGTTCACGTTCCATGTCCGGTTGCGATTATGTGTCGAAGCGCCACGCCGTTCCAGTCCAAAGTCATCACGACTTCGAATGTATCCCTCCACAGCCATCGAGAGACTGCGGGCTGAAAGGTCCGCGAACGACGAAGGCGAGAGACTAGGCCTTCAGACATGATAACAAACCTTCGCTAATCGTGCTCAAAAGTGTTTAAATCCCCTTTCCCATGACTGCCCTGAAGCAAAGCTAGTCGAGCAGGTTCCTATCATTTATCTCGTAAGGCAGCAAAAGAGTTGCATCACGAACCAGCCACCATGTTGGCCCTTCGCCACGTCTGGATTATTGTAACCGATGTTGCCAATTCGCTTTTTGGATCACCCTTTTTCCGGGATGGACCTCAACAATACCTAGGAGCCAAGTTTAGCTGGTCTCACATCGACCTGGAGACTGCCGGACATGACCATCTCGTCTTTACGCCTCCTGGCAGCAACATTGATAAGTTTGTCTGCGACTACCGTCATATGAGAGATAAAGGCTTCAGGTCATGTGGCACTGCAGACGATCGGAGCTGTTGGCTTCGTAATCCGAAAACTGGGGAAGAGTTCAATATCACAACCGATTACGAATACAGGGTGCCGCAAGGTGTCAAACGTGTTTACCACCTGAACGTCACAGATGGCTACGTCAATGCGAACGGTCTGAATTTCACCGAAGCAAAGATGTTTAACAACTCTTGGCCTGGGCCTCTCATCGAGGCTTGCTGGGGCGATACTGTCGAGATCCACGTCACGAATCTTCTCGCCAACAACGGAACCAGCGTCCACTGGCATGGCATTAGACAGAATCAGACAATGCACATGGATGGTGTCAACGGCATCACGCAGTGCCCTATTGCCCCCAATTCCACCTTTATTTACCAGTGGAATGCCACGCAGTACGGCTCCTCGTGGTATCACAGCCACTACTCGGTTCAGTACGCCGATGGTCTGCAAGCTCCCATTGTAAGTCTATACATACTTAGGTTTCCAGACTTGTTAAGAATCCTGTGCTAATCGTACTTCAGACCATTCACGGACCAACATCCTTCCCGTACGACGAGGCTATCGAGCCAATCTCCATGAATGATTGGGGTGAGTCAGGCTGAAACCATGTCTGCATTATCCGGTTGTGTCAAGCTGATGCTAATTAATGGATTCTAGCGAACAATAGTGCGTTCCAAAACCTGTACATAAGCCCATCGGCACAAGACATACTACTGAGTGGCTTCGGGAACATCGCTCGATTCACCGGTGGAGGTATTGAGAACACCACAGAGATTCCCCGTGGTTATGAGATTTGGTTCGATGACATTGAGCCCAACCCCAAAACGAGAGCGAAGCGGTATCTCTTGCGACTTGTCAACACTGCTTTTCAATCGACATTCGTCTTCTCCATTGACAACCACAACTTCACAGTTGTTGAGGCAGACTTCGTTCCCATCGAGCCATTCAACGCAACTTCACTCCTCATTGCCATCGGCCAGAGATACCACATCATCGTCGAGGCAAGGCCGGTTGTCAACAGCACGAACCCCGATGCTAATATTATACCGGATGATCGCAATTTCTGGATTCGTACGCATATGCCACTAAATACTACCACAAACCAGACAATGGAAGGCGGCGCCACGGTGGACGCCAACAACTACATGAAGACTGGTATCCTGCGATACGACAATTCCAGTACAGCAGATCCTACTAGCACGGCTTGGAACATTAGCCTCGTCGTCTCAGATACTGAATTCAACGATAAACTTGTGCCCACTGTTCCATGGAAGGTTGGACCACCCTCAAATGGCCTTGTTGGTGAGCAGTTCAACGTCGCAGACCTGAGCAATGCAGCAAACCATAATGGACCATATTCTACGGCCTTTTTCTCTTTCGAACGGCCAGATAGCAAGGACGTGCGACCCTTCCAGACCACGTACGGCAATCCTACCTTCTTGAACCTCGACAACGTTGGCGATGAGTGGCCAACAGGATGGGTGGTTGTGCCCGAGAACTATACCGCAGATGACTGGGTGAGTTTAATTATGTATAGGACATTCTGATGGAATCTGTTACTGATTGGTGATTCCTCGCGTAGGTTTATCTGGTTCTTAACTCCGACAATAACGATAAAACTAAACACGAAACGTTCGGCCCTCATCCCGTGAGTAGCGATAGCAATAGCCCCTGCCTAGAACCTTGAGACTGACTTCGTTCAGATCCACCTTCACGGCCATGACTTTGCCATCGTCCAGCAGGAGGATGATAAGCTATGGGACATAAAAGACTTCAAGCCCAACAAGAACAAACTGAATAATCCTCCCCGTCGGGACGTGGTACTCCTCCCCAGAAGCGGTTACGCCGTAATCGCCTTCAAATCAGATAATCCTGGCGTGTGGTTGATGCACTGCCACATCGCTAGACACGCCTCCGCCGGCCTGTCTTTGCAAATCATGGAACGACAAGCCGAGGCAAACATTATTTGGCAGCCCGGAAACTCTATGGCCCTGGATAATGCCCATAAGCTCTGTGCTAGCTGGAATACTTGGGCCTACGACTGCAAGAACTACTGGCCTGGTAACTTGGGAACAGACGACAAGCCGGATTATCCTGCCTGCGCCAATGCCACCAACCTCCAGAACGATTCTGGAGTCTAAAGGCGGATATTCATACTAATGGGATAACGAGTTTCAGTGAGGTAGTGTGTCAACGAAATTGAGACGGTCTATTTATGACGAGGGGAGGGTGGGAGGTGGAGGGCCAGTAAGAGATCATGGTATGAGAGCGCTGAAGAGTCGGCCAAGGCGACCTGTCGAAAAGAAATCGATAAAGATAGCAACATGACTGATGTCCATGATTCCCGATGAATAACACAAGCGGCGGAGGACTGCGACAGCAAGACCAGTCAATACATTCCATCGGAGCAAACACCGTAGATGCTGCTCTTATTATCTCTTCTTATCCCCTCAGCTCTTCCGGCCAGACGGGTCCATGCAGCCGTGGAGCCAATCTTCCATCAAATGCCAAGCTCACACTTAGCCCAGCCAATGAGCACATTGCCATCGTATTTTGGTGTGGTATGCGACCCAGCGGCGCGGGTGTCGCGTGGCTTATCAGACGGGCGAGAAGCAACGGCCAAATCTGATGGTGGCGTTCTGCGTCTGCGCTGTTGTAAATGCATGTAAGCGCTGACTCCCAGAACAGATATACGAGGTAGCGGTTCTTTTCGAAGGGACATCGTTCGGGACAGCCCTGACTTATGTTTTCCAGTCTCATCATCCCACGTCGCAACTTCAGAGCAACAAAGACAAGGTGAGAGTAAGCATGGATGAGATGTGTGAGTTGGCAGTGGATGCTGTAGAGTGGGTGTCTGGCTGGCCGACTCTGTTACTGGCGGCGAATTTCCTGGGATCAATTCCGATGAGACTTGTTCGAAATCATCTTCATAAACCCTGGTTAGAATCACGACCCGAAGTCAAAGCCTCGTCTAAGACTTGTGAGCACCTTCACACATCACCTACGATGCCGTTCACAAAGTTCGCCGAGCTCCCCGCCGAGCTCCGCCTCAAAGTATGGAACGAAGCAGCAGCTGGACCCTCAATACACATCTTTGATGTCTGTTTCCCGTCATGGCGGGGTACTGATCGAAGCAGACGGGCCTTCCAGTCGATAGAAGGCAATATTTCAGAAGACAACCACGCCAGATGGACAAAGTACAGAGACTGCGTCTTCCTGGATGCCCTCGAAGCCGGGCCGGCAGAACTTGCGCGGCAGACGAGGATTGCGAGACATATGCGAAATCCATCCGTCTACAAACAACGACAGACGATGCGGCTAGTCTGCTCTGAAGCCTCGGCAGCGGTAGAGAGGCGGTTGAAGGGACGGAGCATGAACTCAGTCTATCTTCCCGGCCGAAACCAGAGGATACAGTACGACAATGAAGAGGACGTGCTGCTCTTGCGGTTCGGAGACGGCGGTGCTCTCACAGATCTCAGCCACGGGGTTCTATTCGGCGAGTTTGAGGCGTCCGGGGTGAATAACCTGACTGAGGTGCTCGAAGGGCCGTGGAGCGCCGAGATGGCGGAGACGTTGCGTGATGCGCAACTCATCGCTCTGGATATTGCGGAGACGTGGACGCCGGCGACGGTTGGAGCGGCGATGTTTGAAGAGGTGGCGTACTTGGCGTGTTGCATACAACGAGGACTTCGAGTACTGTACTTGGTTGACCATTGCCCCGGCCGATGTACCCGTTGCGAGAAGCAGAATATCACGAGATCTCAGCTCCAGACTCGTGGTGAACTATACGATCAACTTCACAGTCGAGATATGGACGCGGCTAGACTGCGGCCAGCGGATGTGATTCATGGCGTGGGCAAGACATATCGGGAAGTCTTTGATTTGGAGGGCATGGGTTGGTCGGACGAGCACCCGATCTACATGTTTGCGAGGGTGATGGACGAAATGATCAGGAACCAGCAGGCAGACGCGGATACGCAGGATTTCGAGGGGATCAGGGTGTTGCTGGTGGAAGACGATGAGTTGGAGGGCGTGGACAACACCACGATGATGGATTGTTTTCCGGACGGCCGTTCGGAGGTCGCCAATGAGGTTTTGAACATGAACCTACGGTGGTCGAGCTAGCGACGTGGGTGAGAATGTGAGACTGTTTGGTGCGAGAAGTGCGAGATAAGCTGACCGCCATGATGAAGACCGCTTATGCCAGCGAAGTGAAGTGCTTTGGTCGAATCGGCTGACGTTGGGCAACGCGAAGCTGGTTTCGTCGAAACGAGGAAAGCTGAAACGAAGGATGCGAGCTGAGGAGGGACACCTTGCATTACTATAATCTCTGGAAGAAGAGACTGTATTGACAACAATGTGGCCGCCGTAAACATTGACAAAACGTGCTGAAGCCCACCAGTTTTTCTCTACTGGGAATACCTTTTGACGCCATACTATGCATATACCACGCAAGCTCAAGACCACACATACACGTATAATTACCTCGCTAGAAACTGTGAGACGGTCCTGTTAGCAATGGGTATCGGGACAGGGGATGATGGAGGCCAATCTTACCGTATCTCATAGGAACCCGCCCTCGTCATGTACCGCACCCACTTGACGCTCGAGTAGTTACTCTTTTCAAACACCTTCAGGTATCTAACCAAAAGGCCTGAACTCGTAAACATCAACAAACTAAAGTTGAGGCTCAGAGGCGGGCGCGACCAGGCGCGCTGGTTGGTCATGCTCGTCAAGATGGCCTCGGCACTCAGAACAAACTCGCTCTGTCCCGTAAACCGCCCAATTTTCCACACAATGTTGTTCTCGCTGGGCTCGTATTTTGCCTTGCCCTGGGTGCACCGTTCCGTGATCTTAGCAGTGTTGAGCGGTGTAGGGATGCGGACGACGACGTTGGTGGCGAAGAGCTTTGCGCCAAAGTTTGCCTTGATGCCGATGCTGTATTCGACCTTTGTGCGGCCGACCTCGTTGACGATGGCGTGGATCTTGAAGGGGAGGTTGACGTTCTCGGTGGCGCGGTAGCGCATGAGCTCGAACTCACCGTCGGGCGGGACGAAGGAGATGATGCGGTCGCTGTCGAACTTGCCGAGCTTGACGCACTGGTGGAACTGGCAGTCTTCGAGGGTGACGCTGCCCGCGGCGGCCTTGGTGGCCTTGGTTCCCATCCTGTTTCCGCTCGGTAGACTCAGGAGCCCGTCGTTATCGAGAAGTAACCGATCGTTGAGGCCGAACTTGCACTCTGGGGTACCGGAGAGGTAGGCGCGCATGACAATCTGACCAGTGACGTCGGCGCGGAGGACGGCTCCCGTGGCAGACATGAGGAGGTTGACGTCTTCGATCACGTCGACAAAGGCCTCGTTCTTTCTGTACTTAACATCTGCCTTGCGCCACGAGAGCGCGCCTGTTGCCTGCATTGTAATCTTGGCCGAGTCTTCAGCAGCCCGTTCTGTCTTGACGCCTTCGGTGGTGATGTACATCTTGAGGGTATCGGTCTCGGTGTTTTGAGGGTAGCCAAAGTCAATGATCTCTAGATAGCAGGCGTTAGAAGGGCACACCAATAACACACCAGATTGAGTTGGTAGAAACATACCGTCGAGCAGCTCATAGACAAGCACGAAGTTGTTCTTGACAGCCTCCTCATCAAACTTGCCAAAGTAGCCCCGTCCCAACGCAATTAAGCGATAGAGGAACTCAAAGACCAGCGCAGCATTCGCATTGCTCTTGGTAATGGCAACAAGGTAAATGTTTTCATGCTTCACATGGCTGAAGGTGGTGCTCCCGAGGGTCAAGATGGGCGACCGGACTTGCGAGTTCGAGATCACTTGAATCCGGAAGACGTCGGCAAGTCTGGGCCTACAATCATTGCGAAAGGCGCGGAAGATGAGGTTCTCGCCCTTTTGGTTGAAGATGAGAATTCCGGACAACATCGTGGCGGGTCACGGGGTGAGGGCGCGCGCGAGGGGAGCGACCACGGGGATTGACTAGCGGACGGGAACTCGGAGGGGCGCGTGGTGTTCACGGTAGTAGAATTGGTAGAATGGGATGTTGGTGATTATCGAGGCAAAGGGTCGCAGGCGGGACACGGCGGGGACTGCGGCGGGAACTGGCTCGGTCAGCCGTCAGGGGAGCTTCCACTTTGCGACTTGGTCGAGGGGGACGGTTTCGGGACCGGCGGGAAATTCTGCCAGGCCCCAAAAGGGTCCGGGCGGTGAAGCTCACGGTGGACCGGCGCTCCGTGCGGTGTGGGCTTCCTGGTCCATGCTTCCTGTCTTAGGTAAGCCTTGCCTTCCAGAACCGACTTATGTAATCCAAGGCACTCACGTGTCGACTCTTGACGTGAATAGTGATTATGTTAGCACAGTGCTTCCGGGCCGTGCTAATACGCCTTGACACCTTCACACCCGTTCATCCTCTTGCAACAACACCACCACCACCACACCTGAACGACAACAAGGCGCCACATTCATAATCCACAACCGCATGTCTACTTTTCCATTCTCTGGCGAGCTCTGGCTGTGATACGGAGAAAACGATATTGAGAACGGGGCTGTGTGTCCGAAAGATGTGTGTCGGGACCACGAGCCCTTGGCACCTCACCACCGGATTCAAGTGAAGCCATCTACCTGACAAAACCACCATCAATGCGACCACGACAATGACATGACGTTGCTGGAGGTCAGGACTCGACGAAACGTCAATTTGGATCGCTCCCGCAGAACTGGGAACCCTAGATTGATTGTCGATGGTTATTAGGTAGGCAATCAGTATTGATTGCTTCCACTCTTGACACTCATTAATCTCATTAACACAGACAGGCCCGAGTACCACAGCACCACCAACGACGCGGTTCACCACCACACAACCCCCAATTTCTCCAACTCGCTTGTCGTCCCTTGCGTCTTGCCTTGCGGCTCCCACCGCTCGCCACACTTGTGTCTATACGGATTAGTATGCTGATGGTACCTGTCTCCGTGCCTTGAGCCAAGCTACTTTCGCTTCGGCTTTCGATCCGCCAGTTCTGCATCGCGAGACTGGCTACCTCCGTCTTCCACATACGTTTTGCGACACGGTCGCGATGCAGTCTTCCGTGTTTAAATTAAACGGCATAGGCACGCCATTCCCTCTCAGTGTTCTCTCGGGCGACAAAGCCGACTTTCCAATGGAGAGTTTGCTGGATTGTAGCTTGACCGGAACGATTCAAAGAGCTTCCCGACCCCTCATGGCACCCTCTTCGACCGTCCCCACATCCATCACGCCCCCATGACCAACGCGCTCTTCCCTTCGTGGCTAATATGGAGCGTCGCCTCCGAGATGACTTACACTCCGTTACATTCAACCCGCGCTTTGCCCACACCTTGGTTGGCGGACTTTCCTCCTCGACGCCTTTGAATATCGACGACAGCCGTAGCTTGTTGCACCGCCAATTACTGATGGCTCCATGCCCAGCTTTAGGGGCATGCTCAGCATGCCGTCAACCATGCGATTTCATGGTTCGAGGCCCGTACTTCGGATGTCTCTTCCATAACCCCATAGACCCATGGTAGCGATGGCTCCCTCGGCTCGCTCTACTTCCTCGACGCTTTTCTCAAAGGAGTAATCAAGCTCAAGATGCCGTACCTTCGCTCCGAGATCGTGGGGCAATGTTCCTCTCCCGCCGGCAGCCCAGAATAAGCCCAGGAGACGTCCATCCCGCCGTTCCGAAAGGCCAAGCGGTGAGTTCAAGAGATCTGAGTCCTTAACTGTGGTTGGGAACATGATAAAAGGACCAGCTCCCAGGTTGTGTACATGGCAAGTTCTTGATTTGCAACCCACGGACACCACCCTCTCTAGAGTCAAGCTATCATCACCCAGAACCGAAGCAACAATGGCTGCTCGCGCTCTTCTCACCGCGGCCCTCTTGGGTACTGCTGCTCTTGCTGTTCCGATCGAGGAGAGGCAGTCTTGCGGCGCCGTATGGTAAGTAGAATACGAATTTCAGACGAGGAGAGAACCTGACTGGTGGCTAGGGCACAATGTGGTGGCCAAGGCTTCACCGGCCCTACATGCTGTGCTTCTGGCAGCACTTGCGTCGTCAACAATGCCTACTACAGCCAATGCTTGCCCGGTAGTGCCTTGTCTTCGAGCTCTGCCGCCGCTTCGTCGACTGCCCGCTCCAGCTCTTCTGCGGTCGTCAGCACTTCCCGAGCCTCGACAACCGCCGGGGCCGGCACCACCACCACAAGTGCCGGAACTGCCACCACCAGCGCTCCCGCAGTCACCGGCGGTGCGACCTACACGGGCAACCCTTTTGCCGGCGTCAACCTTTGGGCCAACTCATACTATGCTTCAGAGATTACGACTTTGGCTATCCCGTCCCTGAGTCCTGCTCTGCAGACTGCGGCTGCTGCCGTTGCCAAGGTCCCTACCTTCATGTGGATGTGAGCTATATATATGAAAGACGCCGCTATTGGAGTCCTGATTGTGCTGACAGCATCCAGGGACACTCGCGCCAAGATTCCCTTGGTTGACTCTACGCTGGCCGATATTCGCAAGGCCAATGCAGCTGGCGGCAACTACGCTGGCCAGTTCGTCGTATATGATCTTCCCGACCGCGACTGCGCTGCTGCTGCCTCCAACGGCGAGTACGCTATCGCTGACGGTGGTGTTGCCAAATACAAGGAGTACATTGACGCTATCCGCACCATGATTCTCAAGTACTCTGACATTCGCATCCTCCTTGTGATCGGTCAGTACCTCATCTTACATCCGTCGATGTCGACGAGTCCTAACTTTCCAATCCAGAGCCCGATTCCCTCGCCAACTTGGTCACCAACCTCAACGTTGCCAAGTGCTCCGGTGCCCAGGCCGCCTACCTTGAGTGCACCAACTATGCTGTCACCCAACTCAACCTGCCCAACGTCGCCATGTACCTTGATGGCGGCCACGCGGGCTGGTTAGGAGTAAGTTTTGGTCGCACCACACACCACACACCACACCCCATACATGTTCCTATGGTCTGACATACTTCTCCAGTGGGCTGCAAACTTGGGACCCGCCGCCAACATGTATGCCAAGGTATACAAGGACGCCGGCAGCCCCAAGGCTCTCCGCGGAATCGTGACCAATGTAGCCAACTACAACGCCTGGAGCGTCAGCTCCCCGCCTTCCTATACTTCAGGTACATAATTCCCATCCAGTGGTCCAAGGGTTCTATACCTAACCCGTCTAGGCAACTCCAACTATGACGAGAAGCACTACGTCGAAGCCCTTCAGCCTCTTCTCGCCGCTCAGGGCTGGAACGCTCAGTTCATCGTTGACCAAGGCCGCTCCGGTAAGCAGCCTACTGGCCAGTTGGCCTGGGGTGACTGGTGCAATGCCATCGGCACCGGCTTTGGTCTTCGTCCATCCACCAACACGGGCTCGTCGCTTGTCGATGCCTTTGTCTGGGTGAAGCCTGGTGGGGAGAGTGACGGTACTTCCCTCTCTACCGCCACCCGCTATGACTACAACTGCGGCAAGGAGGACGCTCTGAAGCCCGCCCCTGAGGCCGGAACTTGGTTCCAGGCCTACTTCGAGCAGCTCCTGGTAAACGCCAACCCAGCTTTTTAAGTACTGTTGTGTTTTTTCTGCAGATATGGCTCAAAGTTGAAGACGTCACATTCACATTATCTTCCTGTAAATATTCTACCTACCTTGAAGCCGAGTTGTATATAAACTATCGCATCCACTTGCCTCTCCTGCTCCGTGCTGCTCGGATAGTTCATCTCGAACCCGGAGGGCCTTGGTTTACCAAAAGAAACGAAAAACGGGAGGAACAAAGTATCGCAACGCGGCACGGGTGTCTTCTAGGCCGTCCGGTTCCCAGGCTCTAGGACCAGGACGGAACCCTGGGGACCCAATCCGATCACAAACTCAGTTAGTAAAGTGGTATATAATGAGGCAGACGTCGCTCGGAAGAGCCCGCGCCCGCTTGCTTCTCTTCGTTTCTCTTCTCCTTCTTTTCTGACTTCTCGATGCGACTACTTGCCCCTAGACTTCTCCCCAACCCTCGATTTGGCAGGCCGTCAAGCCTATAGAGATGTGGATAGCCCTTCTGCTCGCCCTCTTCTCTACACTTACACTTATTTTCATGTTTCATCGCATTATTTGGCCTCATAAGGCCCTCCGCAAGCGACGCAAGGAGAAGGAATTTGCAACGAAGGGAAAAGTTCAGATAGCCCGTCCACCGGGCGACGCGAACGTACCCGATAATCCGGCCTCATCTTCCAAGGCCGAAAAGCGAACCATACGGTCTAGGATCGCAAAGATAATGAAGATTAAGGCGAATGGAAAGGGTAAGAGCAGCGGGATGCCGTTGAATCCTCGCTCCCCTGTCTTCCAGCCATTGGCGCAGCCACAGCACGCAACACCGTCGTCCTCCAGCGCAGATATTAGGCCTTTATGGCTAAGTCATGAGGGAGATGCAGGATTAGCATACAACGACCTAGACTCTGCCCGTTCACCGGTCACGTCAGTGGATGGAAACGCCGTCTCGGGGTCTTTGAACACACAATTGTGGCAAGCCCCAGACCATCATATCAATAACAGAACGCCGACTGCATGGGTAGCATCTCGGCCTTACGATCTTACCACCGTCCAGACATTCCATCCCATATCGAAGCTGCTAACTTACCATCACAGCCTCGTTCTGGGCCGTTCTCAAAGGCCGTTACCAACACCACTATTCCCTCCGTACGTGCCGTCAATGTTTGCCCTCAACTAATAACTTTCAAAAAGCTCATAGCCAAGTCAGCCTCAGACCTTCCGAAGATTACCAGCAAAGCGCCTCGATGATCCAGGAATTTTCGTCTCCGAATCCGTCGTGCCAGGAAGAGGAAGAAGTTCTTCGCCGCTTCATCAGATCTGCGACGGCCCGCTCATGTCCGAATTGCAAACGTGGCGTCGACATTGGGAGCAGCACCATCTTCCAACACGCCGGGGAAATTCTTCGAGGTTCGTTCCACAGGTGTCTCATGGTTGCCCTATAGACCTCTCCACCGCCCATAACTAACAATCTTGACTCTCAGATCGAAAGTCTATCGCACAGGGCAGTCACTATGTGAAGTGTTTTTGTGGGACATCTTACTGTATGACATGCTCCAGAATGGGAGACAGTTTGAAGACACCTTTCGCCCGTTCCAAGTCAACCAAATGGTGCTGCCCCGAGGGTCGACTCTTCCACATCTTTGTCCTCTTTTGCGGCCCGATCGCCCACGATGCAAACCCGCAGGTCTCCATCTTTCAAGACTCACAAGTGGAGGCGATTGAGAAGTCCCCAAAAGCCGAGAGAAGGTCCGAGTCGAAGTTCAAGGCCTTCTTCAAAAGCAGCGATGACGACGGCACATCCAAAGGTACGGGCTACGCGACGGGCGAGGTCTATGGAAAGAGAGAGGAGCCGAATGAGGTTGTCCGTAATCGTCGTGAGAAGCTCGAGAATAGCATGAAACTTTTACCCAGGCTCCTCGCCGCACTCTCGATAGCATGGCCTTCAACTTCCATGGCTCACCAGTTCGATCGCAACCCCCACCCGTTGTTGATGGTCATGGCTCGCCGAAGCCCACTGATGGTGAGGATGGCCGAGCTTCTCCGAGACGATAGCATGGAACAGATCATGCAACAAGGACTCCCGTATCAAGCCCTGTTCGACTTTCTCCATGTGATCTCAGCACATCCCTCCACGGCTTCGCTGGTCTGTGATGTTCGAATTAACTATCACCTCGCACACACTTTATTGCCAGTCTGCTTCGGGGATCGCCCTCTTCCGGTGCCAGATAGATCTTCAAGCTCCAGTGACAAGGTGAAGGGAAAGAGGAAAGCGGAGGAGCTGTGCGAGAAGCAGGAGCAGCCTCAAGAAACGCTCAAGTCGTTGGTAAGCCTACTCTCTGCCTTGAGACTCCAGGCGGAATCGGTGAAGCGACTCTACAAACCCGTTTTCGGGAGCCTTTCGCAGACGATACTCATGTGCGACCGTATCTGCGATACTTATCAGCAACTCGAAGAAGATCATTCGAAAAAGTTCAAGACGGAAGTGACTATTGACGAAGGAAGCACTTCTGCCTCTCTGACCCATTCACTATACACTGCTTCGTCGTCAGCAGGACCACCTACCATCCCTGACGACAAGCGAGAAAAACTCGCAGCCGCCCGGCAATGGCTCAGCGAGAATAAGCTACAGGGTATGGAGTCAGAAAGCTGGCTGAGTGACTATAAAATTGCCCTTCCAGTCTCGGAAGCCACCGCCCACGGCCGTATGAAGAAGCTCGTCATGGAGCTCTCCATGCTGCGAACTACACTCCCCGACGGCATCTTTGTTCGCTATGATGGCACGCGGTTGGACGCCATGAAGGTCCTCATCGTCGGACCCGAAGACACGCCCTACGAGAATGGACTCTTCGAATTTGACCTATTCTGCCCTCTCGATTATCCGGCGAGGCCACCAAAGATGGTTTTTAGAACGACGTACAGTCGTCGAGAGTTCAACCCGAACCTGTACCCCAGTGGCAGAGGTACGGGAGCTCCCTTGATTACCCACCCGTACCGTCATGAATCATCGCTAACTTTTGCTAATAGTCTGTTTCTCCCTCCTCGGTACCTGGGAAGGCAGCGCCACTGAAATCTGGGACCCAAAAAAGTCCACCCTCCTTCAACTCCTTGTTTCCGTTCAAGCCATGATTTTTAACCCGGACCCGGTATGGAACGAACCTAATCAGACATTCTCACCAACAGCCTCACTGGTGTACAAGACGGAGATGCGCGCCGATACCCTCGTCTTCGCTATGAGCCACTGGCTCCATCTGCGCAAAAACGCCAAGCCGGTCGAGTATAATCCTTGGTTCGAGGTCGTGTCCCGCCACTTTGAGGTGAACTGGCGACGAATTCTTGAGACGGCTGAGATTTGGGCCGCGGAAGATCCCGGGAGTCAAAGCAAAGCCGAGAATGAGTTGGGTATGTTCATGAGAGGTAGACACTCCAAGGAGAGGTTCCCCTGTGGGATCCGTACGCTAAAGGGGCATTTTGCCGAGTGGGCTACGTCCAAAGAGGAGCTGGCCCTCGTGAAGCTTGGTCCTGAAGAGGAAGCTGGGACGACGTATACGCCCGTGGAGAGTCGGCCGAATGTAGACTCTGATGTGTCCGACTTGTCTGACGAGCACGACGAAGACGAGGAGGACGACAAAGACTATGGTTATGATGGTGATGAAGGGGATGATGGGGACGACGTGAACGACGTGGACGACGTGGACGACGTGGACGACGACTTCGATGGAAATGATAATCTACCACCAACCAATGGCACACCCTATGTACCGGCACCGCCGCCTTAGTATCACCTGAGCTCTCTTGATTTTCTTTGAATTCGTTCAATAGTTGCGGCTGGTTTTTGCGTTTTGTCTCCCATTCTATTAGTTAAGTGAGCGTCGGTGTTTTGATGGCAATGAGGAGAGGTTGAACGTTGGTTAGTAATGATGGATGTGGAGACAAGGTTAAGTTCGTTACCAGCTAGTAATCCGAGGGAGTCGATAGAAAAATAGTCAGACTCAGGCTCTCTCTATTTCCTAGTATTTGTCTCGTCAAGCACCACCATGTGAGTCACCCGTTATTTTTCTAGATGTTCAAAGGAGCGCGGATCAATGACTAGATGCGCCTGACGAGTTGTTCGGTGATGCTGCGTTCTTCGCAAGGGAAGGTAGCAAAGACGGAACAAAGTATCGGCTTGTGTCAGTATCAAGATCTGTAAACCACCCCGTCAACCTCTGATCAAGCTAGTCCCTGCCTTAAAGCTCGCGAATACATCTACGGAGTACACCATGGCGGCAGACTTCACAATTACCCTGTGGCAAACCGCCGGTAAGCCAGGGCGCATCCAGGTGCTGCTTGGTCCATGCGCAAGCTTACCGCGGGGGTTTTTGATGACGAGCTGGCACCACCAGATATTGATAGGCACGGCATCGTGAACCGCGCTTTCGAATCACTGCTGCCGCCCGAAACTTGAGAAACTTGACAGCAGTTTACTGACAATCTGTGGTTTATCAGACTCGAGCGATTCGTGGGAAGTACCATGGGGCATGCGTGGATTGCTGGCTGACCGCCCTTCGTCACGACTCAGTTCACTCGATCAAGATGGCTAGCGAGGTGCGTCTCAGTGCCGGTGACCATGTCGACGAGATAAGTACGGATAACAAGGCCTGAAATAATCAGATTGAGGGATAAACTCAAATAGGTTGTAAGCACCCAAGCGAATCTGTTTCGAAATGACAACAGACTTGTTGATGCCCACCACACACGACGCAGCGTCGCACGCAAACACGGCTGACTTGCGGCTGGAGACGTTAGCTGCGGGGGTCCATCGAGGTCAGTGTCTGTGTCCTCGAAGCGATGATACCTACGCCTCAAAGTGCGGCACTTGTCAAGGAGGCGATGGTTTGCGTTTACTATCCGTATCAGGGGTGGGAGTTGTACCTCGGTGCTTAGTCGATGGCGGGCATAGTAACACGTAGCTTATTGTAGGCTCTATGAATCCTGTCAAGGTTTAAATCCATAAGCAAAGGCCCCGTCGTCTCTCGATACTGCTCACCGACCCAAGCTTCATCCCGAACAAGCGTTGACAGTGGATAAGGCTCCCAAGATTCTGTAACCAGGCTGCGGGATACCACGTGGAGGAGGGGACTCGGACCGCTTGAGTGGGTGGCCGTTTGTCCCAGCTTCCCAACCCTTACGGTGTTGGTGGTCACCCCAGTCGGATATTTGGGGCAATTTGAAGTTCTAGCTAGTGATGCCATGACTCGAGCCTCTTGTGATCGCTCTGGACCCGGTGGGCAAGCCGGATGCATGCAACCTACTTCATGCTCCGTACCAAATTGAAGAACCACAAAGCTTCGCATACGCTATAAGCACGGAGTCAAATGTGTGCCATGGGGCGGGATTGTCCGAAAACGAGCATGACTGGAACCAACATGCCTAGTGAAACCCGACGATGGAAACCTTCAATCATACAGGCCGGTCTGGCAGATTGTGATGTCCGAGATAGCTCTACGGCCGAATGATGGTGGATCGAGGATTAATTGATCGGGGGGAGGCTCCCAGAGGCCAATCTTGAACCAACCCAGGGCCTGAATCATGAAAAGTTTCTTGGGTGACTTTCGCGATTCGTTGGAAACATATTCATTGATGAAGCTTCAGAAGGACCAAGATATTGCAAAGTTAAATTCTCCACGGCAGGCAATAGTCGACCATGGCAGCGATATGGTTGGCCGTATTGTCGATGGGAACGTGTCGTCCGTTGAAGATCCATGTGGTCCACGAGTTCCAGGTGAAGTTTAGCGGCCAGGTATGGATGTGTCTGCCACGTGCGGTGCATGCAGTAGCAAGGTACAAGTCGATGGAGGAAGGGGATGAGGGGAAACATCCAATGGCGTGTTTGGTCAGGCCAGAGTCACATCGAAAGTGGTCTGAGGAGTTGAGTCTAGTGGTGATGATGGCGCGAGAAGGTGGCCAACATGAAGACGATAGCCCGTCTGAATCTCTGAGACGAGCCTCGTGTGCGTACATCTCAGACAATGATTGCCATTCCCGGGCCAGTACTCCGTAGACTGGTCGAGAAGCACGAGGGCATCGCAGAGAACTGCCGGAGGTGGCTGGTCTCGCAAGATGCCGATCGACAGGATTCAAGTCTAACAAGAGTAATCGCCATTATTTGACCGTTTTCAATCAGGCCTTATGGTCGTGGAGCTCGTCGGTCCCGAAGCCAAGCCATCATGAGCGCCATATTCAAGTTAGAGACCCCGCTTGTGAGGAGCTAAGCTTGGTGCCCGAAGGCGCTGACGTTGGCGGCACTAATCCGGTGTCACGCTGGCTACTGCTTGGATATTGCGATTGGGAAGTTGTCGCCCCCCAAGGCCCAAGAAGAATACATATGACTTTGACGGGGGTTCTCAGGGTCTTTGGGCCTGTCCGGGCCAAGAGGATCGGCAGTGAGTTCAAACACGAAGGTGGACGAGGGTGAGGAGGACTAGGCCACATCGAAAAACAACCGCAACATCAAAAGCCACCGGCTGTTTGACAGTGGCCGACACAAGACAGGCTAGCTGGTGGTTGGCTGAGCCTGCACGTACGGCCGGCGGTGTCAGTCAGTGGGCGTCAATTCGTACGATAGCGCTGGTAGCTCGAAGCCAATCTCTCGCAATTTAAGTCAAGGTCCAGTTTTCTGGTGAGAGAGCTGTTACTTGGGGTTTGTCACTAGACGGATGCGATGCCGAGTTCGTGTCCCAAGGACTCTGCCTGTGGGCCACTAGGGGCGCGATTCGAGAGGGAGGCCCGAACTCAATCGATGTAAGCGACACGTGGAATTGGCGATGCGTTCCTGGACAAGTGCCTTTGAGGTGCCTAATGGTGAGGTCAAGTGGGTATGAGGCCGACTGGGTAGAAGAGTCGGAGTCTGCAAAATGCGGGATCGAATTGCCTGTTGTAGGTTTAATGGTTGTTCGAAGCGGCTCTCGGGCCTCCTGGAATGGTCGGAACTCGATGCTGCTCACAATGCGAAAAGAGGATGGGACGGACGGTGATTTTGTTATTGTGAGTGTCCACGCTTATACAGCGACTGTTAGACGCGTGGTGATCGGCTCGCGCGGGCAGCGTTTTGCCGTTTGGTTTCTCATTCGGAATCGGAGTCACGATCCCTGTGCTTCGGGCTGTCCTGGGCAGCGCCTTTACTGCGTACACGGCAAGTCTCCCTGTGCACCGGTGTACTCTTACTCGGTATCCCTGTGGGGACTCTATGGCTTCCAGGACGAGACTCGACCGCTGGGCAGCGGGCTGCTTACAGACAGAGGGGGCGAATGTCGGCAAGTCGGGTAGAGCGGTGGTTTGATAAAGAAGGGGACGCGTTGAAGGTTGAAGAATTGAAGGCGGCGAGGGCGGCTGGTTTTGGCAAGCGAGTTGACTGCATTCTGTCGAGGTTTCTTTGATTAGCACACATGTTTCTTCAGCTGTCGGACTGCAGGTCGACGCATGCGGTCGAAAAGAGAGGAGCCTGAGGAGGACTGGTCAGTGGTGGACGGCGGACGCAGGCTGATGGTGGCCAGGGACGGAGGCGACGACAAGGCGAGGCCAAGGATCCAGACAATGGGCGATTTTTCTTCGGAATAATGCAGAATAGGACAGGGGATGCCCTGAACAGTCTGTGCCGTGCCGGTGCCAGGTAGGCCCTGAAGGGAAGCGGAATGTTTCTGCACGGCATGGCCCATGGAATGTGGGATTGAGATGCGGCCGATGCTGTCTGGTGTAATTCAAGGTTTGTGGGAGAGACGGAAGAAACAAGACACCCGATGTGCACACTTCAGAGGGAAGGGGATAGAAGGGACGGGAACATTACGGATAGCTGGTGTAAGTATCCGTACCATCGGAGACGGGAGAGGAAAGTGGCAGGCGGGAAAATCTGGAAAATGCAACATTTTAGGTTGAAGTTGGTGTGTCATGATGAGGGAAGGAACCCGGTCTGGCCCTGCCATGGTTTATCTCATGTCATTCATTGTTCGTGTTATCTGTGAGATTGAGGGTGGGATCAAGAATGAGACTGAGAGTGAGATGAGACACGCCCCAACTGCTCTCTGTACAACCACACGAACAATTGAAAAAGATGCAATGAGTTAATCCATCAACCTATCCACATCTGTACTTGTATCTGTCTGTACAGATATTATTTGACTCCTTTGCAGAGGTTTACATTAGCAAAGCACCGAGCTATTCGCAAGCCTAACCGAGCAGGCCGATTTCGGTATGATGGGAACATGACACTCTTTGATAAGTGTTGTGTTATGCACAGCTCAGGATCTCTGACTCTTCTGCGGCCCGTGTAGACAGGATTCGGAAGATGCCATGATGGGAAGCCCCTGAGGGCATCTTGAGAGACAGAGTCGATAGGAATACATTAGATAGAGACGAGGTATCTGATAGCAGCTGAGTCCCGCAAAGGAAGTATGACCGATGCTGCAGCGCTAATTGTGATGTGATTCGTTTCGAGACGGTACTCTCAAATTTATCTGTATTCAGCGTTCGTACCCAAATCTGCACCTCATCAAGTTCATCACCCATCTCTCTTGCAGTCGCGGTGCACGTCTCACGTTGTTGATCGGGCAAAACGGCCATGAAAGACATGGATTGGCCCTGCTGTCAGGCTCAGTCAAATGTGGTGCGTGCGGCATGCCTCATCACCCTCGCCGTGCCTGAGTGGGGGATTGCATGACAGAAGACAATGTTCATTCGTTGGTGTTGGTTCAACCCCTGTCCCTTCTTCCCCTCCTGATCCCTGTTCTGCACATGGCTACTTCCTCCTTTCTGCTTAGCCTATCTCAAGTGACAGTAGCGCAGGTGCGTCCTGCTGCAGGTGCAAGACAGAAGTCCAGCGTTCTTTCCTCCAGTATCCGTACGAATACCTTTTTTAGTTCAGGGCAGTCACCAGTGTCATTCTCCTTCCCGTTGATCGTGACTTCCGCAACCTCCTTCCTGCCGTGCTTTCTACCTAATCGCTTTGGGATCAATGAGCCCCCTTCTCAAATGGGCCCTGCCTCTCTCTTTTGGCCCCTTTCCATACCAGGTACTTGTGTCATGTATTGTCTCCGTGCCTGCCTCTATCATCTTGACATCTGACGATCGTCACCTCGAATCATTACACACCTCATCAGGTACCTGAAGGGAAAGTGCTGAGAGTACGTACTTGTTGTGCCGTGCCTTCCATGTCCCGGGCACTGAACAGTCCAGTTGGGAGAGAAAGAGGTAGGTACTCCTGTCAGGTACCTACCAATGGGTCAGTCAGGTACTGAGAGGCAAGGAGAGAATGTGTGCCTGGCCTGGCTAGCCCGCCTGCTCGCCTGCCCGCCTTCTCCAGGTGGCCTTGCTTAGCGCGTCCCAGGCTCCGTCCACTCCCGGCCTCCGTTCTTCAGTCCAGTCCCAAACTCCCAGGTCAGGCAGGAGGGAGCACTCCAGTCTCCAGGAGACGGGAAGACGTGGCGGACTGGAAAAGGGTGAAGGGCAGCAAGAAAAAGGCAGGCGCGGATCCACAGCAGTGTGCCTGCCTGATATTATTTCCATGCTCCCCTCGCTCCTGCCGCGACTCCCCAATCTGCATCTGGACCCGTCCTCCGTCCTCCGTTCTCCTCTTCGTCTTCCCGAATCCCTCCTCTCAATTAACCCACTCCTTCTCCGTCATCAATCAACCACTCGCTCCCTTTTTCTGCTTTTTTTTCTGGACCACTTCAGAGCTTCAACGTCCACGGTACTACCTCAAGGCTCAAAACCCCCGGCGCAGACCCATCGATCGTCCCCCCCCGACCGACAAGTCGCCTCCATCTCGCCTCCGTGTAGACAACTTCGCTCCTGTCGAGACACCAAACCTGCCAACCAAGGTCCAAGGACAAGCCTGCAGGTCCCTGATTTTCCGCAATCTTGCTCTCCCAGTGACCTCACAGCGTTTAATCTTTTTACGCCAACGGTCAAACCCACACGCGCCCACACGCACACCCCCGAAGCGAACGGAGAACACACCAAGGAACGACTGAAGTCGCTCACGTCCGCCTTCACCTTCACGGGTTCACGTCCACCGGAGACCGCTCCCTCCTACCGCAAAGAGCACCGTGTCCAGCAGCATATCCTGCACCTCACTGCAATCATCCCAATCTGCCAACAACCCAATCAGTGTCAATTCGCCTTCGCCCTGTTCGGCTCGCCTGCTTGCCTGGTCCGACAGTCGTGAAGCAAGCCCTGGCCTGTGGAAACTCGAACCATAGTTGAGACTGGACGGCCACATCGACACGAACCTTTTTTGCGCAGGGATCTCACCAAACCCAAAAAAAAATCAACACAATGCCTACCTCGCTCGATTCTTCTCGTCCCATCATGGCTCCCTCTGTACGTTTGTTCCTCTCCTGATGTTGCCTTTTTTCGCCCTACCTGCCCTACCTGCATCTGTCTTGCGTCTGTTCTCACCTGCTTCGCCTCGCTCGCAACCGCCCCTTTGCCCTTTTTGCACTTGGACGCCGCAAATCCCGGTCCTCCCCCCCAAGCTACCCACCTATCCGATCTTGTTTGCCTTTTGACCCATTCCTATCCAATCCTATTACTACCTATTACCTACCTCTAGCCGACCCTCTTTCTTGCTCACTTTAATCCTCCCTCTGTGCCGTCCTCTTCAAACACGATCAAAAATGACCGCCGTACTAACAGAAACCCCCCCTCAGGTGCGTACCTCTGTGCGATACAGCACGTATAGCATGGCGCCCTCATTTGCCAACACCATCCAGACAAACGATTCGGCTCACGCCGAGATCACCGACATTGCTGTCGGCCTCGACCGTATGGAGAACAAGGCCCTCAGCTCCCAAAGAGTCACTCTGAGCGAGGAGAAGAGCGCAAACTTGAGCAAGCTGGCCCTGGGTGCCAAACTGGAACGCGCGCTGGACCGGAGAATGAGCAGCCAAGATGCCGTCATGCGGCCGCGCGGCAAGACCTTGAACGAGAAGCCTGCTCAGGCCGCGTAGGAGACTGTCGAGCAACCTTTACCTCGAAAAACCGGCCGTGGCAGGCCATATTCACCGCACAACCCAAACGAACACAGCAGTCGGAACCAGACCGTCATGGGCCACCTACTACACGAACATAAGACGACAGAAATGGGATTTGAACCTGATGCTGCCCGGCTAGACACCTCGCTGTACCCGAGGACGACCCCGTCGTATAACATCGCCCACGACGAGATGAGGCAGACGATACACCTCTGGATGGACACACGCAGGGGTAATGGATATGGGATTTGGACTGAGACTTGGGAACTGGTCACCGTGGAAACAATCAAGTTGTGAAGAGTGATTTTAGTTTGTTGGGATATCCAGAGGATGGCTGGAGCGCCAACGGCGCAATGATGGCATCCCGTGCATACTGTTTAAATGGTTTATTGCGATGCTCCGGCTGCGTTACATATTTCCTACTCCGAGAGGCATTACTCGTTGAGTCTATCGCAAAGACTTGGGATCATGGCATGGGGGGTTTCCTTGAACGAAACTGGGGTGTACACGAAGTGGTACCTATGGTATACTAGAAATGCCCAATAACCCCATTCACCCCACGATGTTTCCTCGTGATATCCAGCCTGGCTTATTTGCTTTGCGCGAATGTCGCAAATGATGCCGCATTGCTAGACATGTTTGTAGTAGCTAGTAACAAACAAGCCTGTATCAAAGTCGAGGACAACTCACGCCAAGAGTGGCCACATGTGCCCAAGGATTCTTTAGCCCACCAAATCATTGCGTCTACCCGGGCTCTCCATCTCCAGGCGCGAGGCGGCTCTCTCATGGGTATTATACGCTGCCAGTAAACAGAAGCCCGAGACTGTTCAACCAGGCCCCTAGCCTCTCCCTCCCTCTCCCCCCCGTTGCAAGGCTCCATGCCCCTCTTGCCGTATGCATTTATCTGCGCATAAACGTCTTGAGTGTTTCAAGTGAAATGTCTCTTTACTTCATCGGTCCTTGTGTAGAACTTGTCCCCTTTTTTCAAAAGTCGTATGCCTTTTCAGACTTTACGCCTTCTCCAAACGGGCCTCAATCTCCTTGTACTGCGCAACAAGCTCGCCCTCCTCGCCCTCGTACTCGAGAGCCTTGCCAACCCACTCCCTCGCCTCCTCCAACCTACCCATCTCCATCAGACACCTTCCACGGCGCCACCACGCCTTTGCGTTGCCGACCTTACGCGCCTCGACGCTGGCCTCGGCGTCGACGGAGCCCTCGGCCCACTGCTGCAGCGCCATGTGCGCCTGCGCCCTGTTGGCGTACAAACCTGAGACTTCCTCGCGGACGAGCTGGGAGGGTTCCCAGAGCGGGCGGGTGAGGGCCATTTGCAGACCCAAGGTATAGAACTTGATGGCGTCGCCGTACTTTTTCTTGTGGAACTCTGCGTTGCCGCTGTCGCGGAGCTTGGCGACCTGGGCGGAGCGTTTGGGGTTCACGGGCATGGGCGGCGGGGGCACGCCGTGCTGGGTTGTTGTGTCGGAGATGAGGGAGCGGTGGAGGGCGTTTAGTTGGGAGAGCTCGGCGGCGAGGGCGCGCGAGGACGAGGTTGAGGAGAGGGATTTGGATTGGGGGTCTAGTTGGAGGGGGAGGAGGTCGAAGTGCGTGAGGTCTGTCATGTTGGGCGGTGGGTTGTTTGTGGGTGTGACAATGTGTGGTTTGTTTGGTGCGAGTCGCAAGGTCGCGAGGCCGTCAGTTGTGCCTTTAGTACTAGGAGTATTCGAGTAGTCGCGTCCGGGTATCTTAAGTCGTAAAGAGTGAAGAGTACGAAGAGGACTGCGATCGTGGGCAAGGAGTGGTCGCGGTGGTTGCTTCGAGGGGGTGGTTTATTGCCAGCTGTCGATCCGGGGTCGAGGTGGCCGGCCGACCTTTTGTGACATTTAGAGGACACTTCTCTGGAGGTCCTCCTTATCGGGTCCGGGCGCGCCATCACGTGCTGATAGCTTGGATCAAGGTGAGGCGGGCCTACCTTGGTGACCGAAGCCCCATCTTCTTCACCTCGCTCACCTCTTGGCCGTTAGTAATAATGACACCGAGGCTTGACTTTCCATTCCTTTTGGTTGAGGGAACAGTCTTTCATTTCGTTCTTGGGTCTATCTTACGTTTGAGGTCGATTTTGAGTGTCTTTCTTGGCAAATCACAGTTGTGGCTAGTCTGGGTTCTACCCTAGCCCGAGAGTTCTGAGTTACTCGGGGAGCTTTGCGGTCATCTCCGTTCTGCCTGGAAGCATTTGCAAAAGTTTTTTTCTTTTCTCTTGTTGGGTATCTCTAATGTTGAATGAAACCAATTAACCTTTCATGTTGAAAGAAAGTTGGCGATGATGGTTCCAGCTGGATCCAAGTTCATCAGCTTTCCCCCTGTTCCCTCCCCTTTAGCCCGGGCGTCAAGGTCGGCTATTTCCATACCTTTCCCTGGTCACCTGTTACAACGACCTCATATTAGTCGTAGTAAGACTTGTTCAGGCCCTTCTCAACCGCGGCAATCTGCAACGCCAGCGGCAAGGAGAACTGTCGACACATCATGAAGCTGCCGGTCATGTACCAGAACCCAGGCACTCCCGTGGCTCGCCACCACTAAGCAACAGTCAGCATGAATCCGTTAAACACCTAGATCATCAGACTTACTCCTGAGCGTTCCTGTTCAGCATCCAAGTTCGCGAATCCGTCCAGCCTGTTGACAACATCCGACCCAAGCAGTTTTTCAACTGTGGTGATGTTCTGCTCGAAACCCGTCGCGAGCACCACCACATCCGCCTCCAACTTTGTACCATTCTTCAACACCAGGCCATCCGCTTGGAACTCCCTGACGCCCTCTTCACACCTCTGGACCCGGATCTTGCCGTCAATGATCATCTGGTTCGCCCCCTGATCAATGTAATACTGCCCGCCTTTGATGAGCTGATAATCTGCCAACCCATACCCGTCTTCGCCTTCCTTGATCTCCAGTCCAGCCTTCTTAAGCCCGACATGCACTGTCTTGTCGTTCTTGGCCATCGCCTGCGTCAATCCGATGCTCATTCTTCGGATCAGTGCGAGCGGTATCGCGTTGCCCACAATGTCTGCTTCCTCGGTGCTGAGGCCTGGAATCGTCCAGAGTGAGAGCATAAAGTTCTCCCACGACTCACGCGAGATGGAGAAGATTGGATGCCGCTGCACCATCGTCACCTCCTTGGCCCCGTGCGTCACAAAGTCAGCCGAGATATCGTGGCCGCTCGTGGCACAGCCAATGACGACAACTTTCTTGTTGGTCACGTCAGGGATCTCGGCGGCCGTCTTGTGGTATTTCGAGTGGTACATTTGTCCCTTGAAGGACTCTTGCCCAGGGAACGGGGGGATCCTGGGCTGGTCGCCGTAGACCCCCGTGGCCAGGACCACATGACGCGCAAAGAACGTCCGCGTTCCCTCTGGCGTGCGGATCTCGACATGGTATCTCTTCTTCTTCTCATCGTACGTAGCCATCGTAACCTCCGTGTTGAAGGCGATGTCAAGCCCCATGAGCTGGCCGTAGTGCTCCATGAACTCGGCAACCTTGTCGCCAGTCAGGAAGCGCGGCCAGGTCTCGGGGATCTTCATGAACGCCCAGTGATCGGTGTAGGTCGGTGTGTGCAGGGTCACAGTCTGGTATCGTTCTCGCCATGAGTCGCCGAGGCGTGCGCTGCGTTCTACGAGACGGGTTTTGATGCCCATGTGCTGGAGGCGAGCGCCGAGCATTAAGCCGGCCTGGGCTGTTTGGTGTGTCCTGGGTTAGCGAAAGGAAAGGGAAATACAACGACGAGCCGAGTATGATGACTGACCTGCGCCGACAATGAGAACCTGCAAATCTTCCTCAGGCTCTTCGTGTGCGTGTCCATTGATGCCGTTGACTCCATTGACACCATTAGTGACGGGCGTCTTTGGTGTCTGAACTGAGCCCGCATGGCGCTCCTCGACTTCGTTCTGATAATCAAGCTTCTCGAGCTGCGTGAAGACAGTCCACGCCTTCCACTCGTCTTTACCAGTGTTACCAAGCTTCAGCAACCCCTTTCCTTCGCCGTGCGGTGTCTTGAAGGTGAACCCGGTCTGGATCCAGACCATGCCGTCAAAGTCGAGAAGCAACGGCTTCAGCCCGCCGATCTTGTTGGTCTGTAGCTCGGAGAGACCATGATCCGCTGAATTCAGGTACTTTCTGATGTTTTCTTGACCTTGTTTGCAGGTGAAATCCCATGAAAGGCCTACGATGTCTCTCCACCAGCAGTTGTCGATGAACAGACCCGAGATGTCACCGAAAGACTTTTCAGCGAAACGACTTTCGAGATCAGAGAGCCATTGACTCGAGATCTTCTCAACGTCAACGTCTTCTTTCTTGACGCCTTCTTGCAACGTCAAAGCTGGGATTTCGGGGAGCTTGAAGCCGTCCATTGTGTGAATAAGTGTCGAATAGCGAACCTTGAGCAGCTCAGAGACTTGATTGGCATCAACGAGATCTAATCGGATGACCCAAAAAATCAAAATTGAAGACCGGAAGCTCGTGTAAGTCAGATTTGGTAGGGAAGGACAAGGGTCTGGGACCGTTTACTAGTGATCTCCCAACGTCGGGGAGATAGCGTCAGATAGCGTACCCGTCATCCGTCAATCCACTCGGCAAATTGCCATCTCGCCCACCATGACCCAAAACGTACCAGTTCTCTCCCAAGGCAACCACTCAAATCGAGATCCGAAACCATCTCGCCCTTTTTCTATTCGGACTATCTCCACGGGTGGTCGGTGGGCCCGGGCAAGGTGCCATTAAGGTTCCCCATTTCTGTAACCTTACACCATTGCCAAGAAAGCTAGTTGCTGAAGATGACCGTATGACAGGCGAATTTTGCTCTTTTTGCTGGAAGGATTGAGAGACACCGATGGATTAGATCATCTTATCTGATCATACTCCACCTTTCTATTCGCGCAGATCGGCGTGGTCATCCTAATCACGGCATGGTAAGTTGCGTTCGGCGGGGGTGGGATCAATAACTTACACAAAGTGAAACCCGCGAATGTGACCACATGCGCGGGATCGCTGTGGGATGAACTTCTTACTAAGTTCTTAGTGGGCTGGATACGAGATCTGACGAGGAAACAGCAAGGAACCTTTGTCGCTAAGGCAGCACATTAGCCAAGGTGGAAAATTGCGATGTTGCATGACGTTCAAGAAGTCCACTCAAAGGATTCATGCTTGCCCGTAAAAGACAACCACCGACCTGATCACTTGTGGTCTTTGATCTTTTCATACTCTCGTAGTGAAGAATAAAGTTCGCAGTCTGGGTAAAATAGAACGTCAGCTCTTCACCTCATGGAAGCATACCCAGCGCTCGTGTTGCACCTTCATCATCTGGTTCACTTGCTAATGCCAAGCCCGACGTCAGCACACAAGCCTCGGGCCACATTTCCCAGAAGATCACGCATTACTTGGCTCCTTGATCCACCGGCCCTAAAGAACGGGTCTGTCGGCAGCTTGCCGGGCAATCGAGAAAAAGTCCGGATGTTGGCAATCGAGTGACTGATGTTCACAGGATCTGTAGATGTTGGATAATAGAGTAAAAAATGGATTGAGATTTGGCTCAATATCTTTCTGGATCTAATCAAGTGTTGTGGAGATCCAAAACCGCCATTGTACAAGGTGTAGCAGATGCTCAGACATACTGTGGAATCTGAGGCCCGGGGTACCCACACGATTGATATCTAACAAAGCCTCGCCCTCGTGGTATGTAGGCCAATGCTTGCCCCCATTCGCCTTCAAGACTTGGAAAAATTGTCCAAACCACTGATGAAGGACATCCGTCGAAACTTCTTCTACCTCTGTGCGCATTCGGAATTCCCGGAGAGCACAACTGTGTGATCGTCACCTATCGCTCTTAGTGTCGCTGTGACTATCGACATCGTCACATTGTTGTTGTTGTTGTTGTTGTTGTTGTGGTACTCAGCGATGTCGCTCTAACCAAAGAGTGCCCATTATGGAATTCAGAAACTAGTCAGGCTACAGTCCTGCCAGTGAAAGATGGAAGAAAGACGCCTGCGGAGATTATTGAGAGAACCACGGTTCATCTGACCCAGCTGTTAAATTGAAATGGCCTGACCCGGAGAGCAGTCCAATGTCGAATGTTTAACTTGAAGTAGTTTATCAGAGAAACTTTGGCCAAGTAGGAATCTTGTCGAGGGGTAGCCAATGAACTGTAGAGATCTTAGTGCCATGGATCCGTCCATTCTACAGCAGTGTTGTCATCGTTGCATTGCTGATGTTGCGGTCTAGACCCTTCCCGAATACCCGGTTATAAGTAAAATCAAGCTCCAATTCGGGAACTTCCAGTCCCGTACCTCTTCAGCAAGATTGGGTTTTGTAGCTCGCTTAGCAGATGTGCAGGTTGCCCCTATCATTCACTCATATACGTGGGCCAGCTCTTCACAGCCGACCAGACTCTGTGAATTACTCATGAAGGAGATGATATAACTCGACAAACCATATTAGCCAGGATTTGATTGAGTGAACTGAATTATCACGTCCAACTTTCGGGCCAGGCCATCAAAGGTGAAGAATCCTAATCCTCTGTGAACCTACTATGGAGTGAGGTCAATTCTTACTGACGATTCGTCCGTTGGAACTATAGCTTCTACATAAAACAAATAGAGGTCGGAGCATATATGTCATCTGTAGGAAAGACGGTAATTCGTCAATGAACTGCCGTCAAAGTCCTTCTTGCCGCAGGTACTCCAGCTGTCAGCATGCGCCATCTACTTCCTCAGCCACTCTACTATCGCGAGCTCAACACATATAATAGTGTTTAACATATCGTATCGTATTCCTTTGACCCTTTACTTCCTAACACTCTGTAGATTCCCGGATATAACCATTAATAAAGGAGAATGGTATAAAGACAACAACCCTCTTTTCTCATAACCTCAGCTACGTGTTGACTATTCTACGGTTCTTGAGCAGAGACTCAGCGGTATTTCCACTCCACCTCTCATGAACGCAGTTTCCATGAATAGGAGAAACTCATTTTCATCCGTTGTAATGAGTTCAGAGAAGAAGTGGATGGCCTCGATGTTCGATAAAGTGCGAAGTGATTTCACCGACAAGGCGGGAACCGGAGAACCGCTAGTGTCGGATTTTGGCGAGGACGAATCAACTTGCGTTCGCTGCACTGTTTTGGCGTGTTTAACTGGGGTTTCCCGGCTCGACATTCCGTTCCCGCTTCGACCTTCGTTTTACTGACACCGTCTCGACCTTCCGTCCTAATAGTTGAGCGAGCGTACGAGACTCTCGCGATGAAGGCGAAGGTAGATAGACCAGAGGACAAGGAGGGGTATAAAGTCATTATTAAGGGGATGCGAATTTCCAAACTTGATTTCTTCCGCCTGAGCTTTTCCTCCGTTCAAGGAGTCGACGTCTGCAGAATCTTCCTAAGCATTTGCCTGTGCAAGCCAATAATCTCGTGCAAGTCTCTAATAAGACGTCAACATGGAAGCTACACAAGCCCTCAACATCACGGAAGCGTCAATAAGTCAGTTACAGAATGTGCTGGGTAACTCTCTAATCACGAGCGTAGACCTTGTCGCGCGCTTCCTCCATCGGATCGGCAAATACGATCACCGCGGGCCCTCATTCAACTCCATCTGCATCATCAACCCTAAAGTCTTTGATGAGGCACAGGCCTCGGATGACTACCGCGCATCAGGCCGCCCCCCACGATCTTTAGAAGGAATCCCATTTACCGTCAAAGACAGCTACAGAGTTGAGGGGCTCACGGTTGCAGCTGCATCCCCAGCCTTCGAAAGCCTCGTAGCGTCTTCGGATGCCGCCGTCGTTGAGCTCCTACGCGCTGCGGGTGCGGTGCTGATTGGGAAGACTACCATGCCTCCCATGGCCGACGGAGGAAGTCAGCGAGGTCTCTACGGTCGTTCGACCAGTCCTTACAACCCCGAGTACTTGTGCACAAGCTTCGCGTCTGGCTCTTCATACGGCTCCGCAGTATCAACGACATCCTCATTCGCCCCTATTGGCCTCGGTGGCGAAACAGTCTCATCAGGTCGAGCGCCGGCCTCGCACAACGCGCTGGTGGGATACTCGCCGTCGAGAGGCGCCATTCCTTCTCGAGGTCATTGGCCGTTATACCCGACGTGTGACGTTGTCGCACCCCATACCAAGTCTGTCGCTGATATGTTGGCGCTTCTGAACACTATTGTTGCCGACGATGCGCACCCGAGAGGTGACTTCTGGCGTGAACAAACGGTTGTGCCTATCCCGCTTAGCTCTGATGTCCGGCCACGGGACTTTCTATCCCTCATGGATCCGGAGGCGTTGAGAGGAAAGCATATTGCTGTCCCCAAGTGTTACATCGGGAAGCAAACTTCTTCCGGGTACTCTGCGGTCTGCTCAGAAGCCACTCGGCAGTTGTGGGAACAAGCTCGAGTTGACCTTGAGACGCTAGGTGCCAAAATTACTGAAACCGATTTTCCTCTGGTCGAGAACTATTCCACGCAGCTCTTTCCTGGTCAGGCTGCCAATGTGCCAGGCATCCCGAGTACCTGGATTGATACCGAGCGGTGTCAGATGATTGCCACGGCATGGGACGACTTTCTGCGCAATAATGACGATCCGGGGTGCCCTTCCCTGGAGGGTGTTGATTACCGCCAGATCAACCCCGACTTCGCTCCGTTGGATGATCGGTCGGAGCACACCGAGCAGCAGAACCATGTCCGGTACGCAGAGATGATTGACTTCATCCGCAACCGGCCCAACTCCATCTACGATCTTCCTGGTTGTGCAGATGCGTTGATCGCTCTCGAGAAAGCTCGCAAGAGAGACTTGGAAGACTGGATGGACGAGAACGGCTTTGATGTTGTCGTCTTTCCCACGAATGGCGACGTCGGAAGAGCTGATTCTGAGGACAATCGCGAGTCCATGGCATACTCCCTACGAGACGGTTTGAAGTATTCCAACGGTAGTCGCGCCTTGAAACACTTGGGTGTGCCCGCCATCACTGTGCCGATGGGAACGCTGTCTGACAGAAAGATTCCTGTCGGGTTAACATTCACGGGCAAGGCTTGGGCCGACCGCGAGCTATTGCGATATGCATATGCATTTGAGTCCTCAAGACGACGAAGAGACAGCCCATCATTGGCACCTCAGCTGGACACTGATATTATCTCGGTCAGTTTGAATCGGGGACATGTCCAGCACTCGAGCAAGATGGAGTTGGTCGTCTCTCGTGTGGTTGTAGAAGATGCCTCAGCAGGAGCCTTGGAAAGCCGCTGTGTCGCTCTCAGCGGGTTATTGGAAGTCGGCAATTCGTCTGAGGAGCCACTGTCGATGCAGGTCTTCGTCAATGGAGATCGGATGGAGTCTCCGATACTCAAGGGTAGCCGATGGGAATGGTCTGGATTGTTGGAATGGGAGAAGATCAAGGAGAGATACCCAGTTCAGGGCAAGACTGCTCGAGATCAGTTCATGGTTGTGGTACTTGCTCAGACTTCAGGTGGTGACTCGAGTGGCCGCCTGGTTATGATCGATTGAGAGGCAACAGGTATAACATAAACCAACCATTGAAAGCTCGAGGACCTTGATTCAAATCGACTCGAGATGTGATTCTCTCTGCGTTATGAATTGGTTGAAGGTGGCCGGACTCATACATGATGTGCAATAAGTCGCGCCATCCTCTCGCAACTCCCAAGCCCCACCAATTGCTGGACTCGCAGCGATGCCTACTAGTTGAGGTTTGCTCTTGAGAGTACGGAGTAACTTACGTTGACTCTTTGCCGTCTCCGGTTACTTTCTGCAAAGAAATACAAAAGCAACTCGCTAACTTTGGATTGCTTGATGCCCAAGCTACTGCAGATGTGCGAGCTTTTCATGTCGAAATTCAGTTCCTGGCTCCATTCGTTTAAGCTTAGGTTGCCCCGGTTGTTAATCTTGTTCCTCTTTTTGTGCGTGCTGCCGAAAGTTTTACCGAGAAAGAGTGCCGAGGAATAGCTGTTGGTTTATTCAGTGGTTCGTCTGTGTGGTGCAGAAGTTTGTTTCAATGAGACTTTTTGGTCGAGTCCGCCGGTCCGTCCGTTTGCAGCAACGTAGACTTCAGGACCCATGAATGTTTTCCCACTAGATGACTCAGAAATAGTGGCATTGAAATCCCTCAGGATGTCCGTTGGAAGAAAGAAACAATTTACCCAGATAGAGAGTCCTTAACAATTATGACTAAGCCCACCATGAGGTGCCAGCAACTGCCGAAGCGGCACAGAATGGCGCCGACAAAAGTCAGCAGCGGAGGATTCTCCGTGAATGTGCGGTGATGGAAATATCATGAGATGGAAACGGCCTAGACCTCCATCAAGTTCTTCTTGGTCCTCGGAATTGTGCCGGGATCGGGCAAGGTACGGACAAAAATCGCTCAGAATAAGATCTTCTCGGACCTATTGGGATGCAGGAAAGGGAAAAAGTCTGACAGTTGCAACTTACAAAGCATTGTCTAGAAAGAAAGAAAGAAAGAAAGAATGCGAAAGAGCCTGCATTCCAGCCGGTTGCGTGCCAGTTTGCCGCCGTCGCGGTGAGCCGCGGCGAGGGATTTCCTTAACGTCAAAAGAAGTAGCCTCTACCAATTTGCTCTCCCTCTGCTCACAAAACCAAGTCTCTCATTGGCAAACAACGTAAACCCCGCTAGATGGGTACAAGCTGCAAGCACTTCTGGCTAGAACACCTCAACACACGTCTTACCCCTCCATCCGTTGTTCGACATGACGCCAACCGGCCGTCACGTACCCGTCAAGTTCCGCCCGGTTGCCAACGCGGAGAAGGTGTTGGCGAGTTGGCAAAGCGGACACGCCCGCCGACTGTCTCCAACTTTGTGTGCCCGGTGGTCCATACTTTCGGGGCAAGTGGAGGAGCCTTTTGGAGACCCGTGAGACTTGTCAGTGACTTTGTGACTTGTTGAGAAGAGTTCTTGAGAAACCGAAACGGCACAGCAAAAAGCAAAAAGCAGGCTCGGGCATTGGAGCCTTGTGGGACCATTTTGTGAAAAACTAGCACTATAGCACAATCCGCCCTGTCGATCGCTGCACACTACGCATGTCGTGGGCTCGTGGTTTGTTTCTAGGTTGGAATCCCCATCTTCCGACTGGTCAGAAGCAGACTCCGGTCCTTGCGGGTGACCCGTCCGCGCCTCCGCGCCGAGTCAAGCGTCAGGGCTGGAACCGCGTGGCGGCGGGTTCCCTTCTGTGCCTCTCAAACCAGTCAAGTCGGTTCCTGTATCTTTTCCCTACTGTTCGGCAGTACCGTAGAAACTCGAGCAACTCGAACTTGCGCTAGCCCGTGCCAGCCCTGCTAGCGCTATGGCAGAATCGTAATACTGCCTAAAGTGGTTAAATGCGGCCGCCACCTATTTTTGGCGTAGGTTAACATTTCGATCGATCTGACCAATGAGAGCTCGCCGTCGAGGCCGGACCCACAATTGATATAATTCAATAATTATTTTGGCTTTCTCGTCGGTTTTGAGCTTTTCTCGTCGAATTGGCAAAAAGGGCAAAAGTGTCAATTGGAAGCAGTCGTACGTAAGCAACCGAGCCCCTGACTGTCCCCTGGCCCACTGCCTCCAACGGGCCCCTATTCATACGGCGGTTGGACTGTCGGGTCGACGAACTGCCCATTGATGCCATCACGGACTTCCTCTGCTGTGAAAATGTACTCTAACCCGTCGTTCAGAACAGCGAAGTCTGGAATCTCCTCTTGCAGCGTCTCCTGCTCAATGTGGGCTTCTACGTCGAAGAGCTCCCACCCAGTGTAATCGATGGCCTCGGCGGGCACGTCTTTGATCCGGATCTCGTCGACCTGGCTGCCATCGGGCCGAATAGATATTCCGCACTGCAGGAAGGCCTGGCTGACCATTGAGCCCTTCTCGTGGGCCAATTTAGCGGCTGCCGTCTCGACTGTTTTGGTGACCATTATTCTCTTCATACCCGTCTCCCACTTGAGCTCCTCCTGCTTATTCAGCGCTTTTTCTTCCTCGTCGAGTACGTAAGCGTCGGTTGCTTCTGAAAGCCACTGCTTGAAGGGCTTATTGACTGCGGTATCGAGAGGTTGGAGGAGGGAAGTGGTCCCTGGCGGTATGAGGCAGGGTGTGATGTGGTGCTGACGTAATAGCGCAAGGATGGAATCTGTCTTATGGAAGGAAGCGACATCCATTACCAATAGGTACTCGTCTCCCTTAGTCAGCGCTACCAATTCCTCTTCAATCCATCTTTTGAACAAGTACTCATTGTTGTAGGCAGTCTTGTTGAACTCAACTGTCACTCCTTCTGCGTATAATAGGCCCTCTTTTTTCCATAATTGACCCCCTTCCTCTGCGGGCTTGCCGTGGAATATTATTTTCGGTTTAATTCGTTGTATGCCGTCGGCGAAGATGTAGAGTATTAATGTGGCCTGCCGCTTGCCCCAACCGCTGCGGTCGCTCTTGCCAGCCACGGTTTTGGCCCCGACGTCGTCGTATGTGTAACCGTCTAGGTATTCGAAAGGAACTGGGGTCTCGTCGAGGTTGAGAATTCGCGAGTTAGGAAATCGACGGGCTGGACTTCCGAGTAAATCTCCGACGTTAGACCGCTTCACCTTAGCCAGGGCCATTTGATTAACTCGTCGGATAAAGGAAAGAAAGCTGTTGACAACTTTGAAGTACTCAGTGGGTAACTTCGTTGCCTGTTTGGTAAGTCGACGTCGGGTAATTCTCATACGATTCTGGAAGCCACGAAACCAACCGGGGGAAAAAATAAAAAGATGTTTGCTGTTCGGGTTCTGCTGGGCGAAAATCCGCTTAGCGGTCCTTTTGAACCAACTGGTACTAACGAGCTTTCCCTCACTTCGTCGCTGGCGGAAGGCGCCGTATAGCGCTGTCTCGAGCTCTGGCCACTGAGGGTGGTAGGCGTAGTTGGAGGACCGATTGACGATTGACTCGCGGTTCTGATACCAGGAGATAACCGTGCTTCGAGGGACTTTGAACCAATCTGCGGCTTCCTGGTATGTGGGACGTCTGTATATCCCTGGGAGCTCGGTCTCGCCCTGGCGCAGCCTCGGGGGGCAAATCGACTCTTCGTCGAGCTTCCTCACGCGGTGATGCTCTAAAAACATCAGGACGTTGACTTTGGTATCGTGGGTATAGTGGTGCTGGCGGCGCTTGATTGGGCCACTTCGCGGTGTATATTTCCGGTCTTTGATGGGGGTAGGAGCAGGCCCGCGGCGCTTAGCTGCTGGAGGTGTAATTGGCACTTTTGCCGTATTCGAATCCTTCTCGGCAAGGGCCCGTCGTGAGGGCATCGTGGGCACGTCGACGAGGCCCGTGGTGGAGGTGTAATTGGAGGTATAATTGACAGTATAATTGGTGGTCAAATCGGTGATGTAATCGGTGGAAGTGGGCAGTTGGGTAGGAGTAAAAAATGGAAAATAATCACTTACCGCCTTCCGTATACGGTTTAGTCGATTATATAATCGGATAAAACTGATCCCTCGAAAGGGCTTAGTGTGGGCCGCTAGCAGGGCTGGCACGGGCTAGCGCAAGTTCGAGTTGCTCGAGTTTCTACGGTACCAGTACGCCCAGGTTCCCGTACGTTGCGTTGCGTTGTACCTGCATCCGCCGTCAGCAGCTCGAAGGTCATCCTTCTCAGCCCTTGGGCCTTGGCCGCCTTGGCCGCCCCTCCTTCAATGTTCCTTCAAGGCTCCAAGAGGCACAGCGCCAACAACAACTCCCGTGCTGGTGGCATAGGTAGGTCGTGGCCGACGCCCTGCCGATGTACCGCCCCTTGGCTCCCTTCTACTTGGGAGTTGGGACCTGAACCTTGGATTAGCACGAGCCAAAAAGCGTTTGGTTCCTGAGCCGTTCCTGTCATTAAACCTAATCCGGGCCCCTTGGCGACCCATGAGCGATTTTCACCCCCTGACAGAGCGCACCCCCCTTTCCTTGTTGGGCCTTGGCCATGCTTCCTCCTGGCCTTTTCTCCGACTTTGGCTGAATCTCAGCGCCTAACAAACTGCCAAACTTGATGTGTCTTCCTTGGACCTTGCCTAGCGCAATGTTTCCCGCGACTGGCCCTCCCGTTAGGGCTTCCTAAACTTAAGTTTGTCACTCTGTTTCTGACAGTAACACCGCAGCTTGATGAGGGGAAGGGGAAAATGTTTCTGAAGGTTCCACGGCTTCTATCCATCAGATTCATGGCAGTCCTTGATTGAACGACGAACCCGACTCGCCAACTCTTGCCCTGCGGGTCCGTTGGATCCTGTTCAAAGAAAAAGCCACACACACTCACACACAAACGTCTCCGGCCCTCTTCGGCCCCATCCCAGGCCCAGACTCAAGAGATCCAAGTCCAGCTGTACTGCGTACAGGCGCAGTGTCATCGTGGAGGATTGCGGCGTCTGTGGGGACAGAGCGCTTTGCTACGTGGGCCTCCGCAGATGGACCGAAGGGAAGGGCAAGCCTGGCAAGGCACTGACTGCCAGCACGTGTGAGTGACATCTCATCTTTGGCTGATGTTTAACGTTTTCATCCCGTCTGCTGTAGGGATGATATTTTGTATATAATCCCCCAGTCTCATCTTCTTCTGGGATGGTCTTGTTCTGATCACCACCACCATCCTTACACTCCCTCTTCAACTCTTCTTCTTCTTTTTTCACCAGTCATTCCCTCGGCCAGCTTTGAAAGCTCCCAGATCAGGCATCACTCCTTTTGAACGCTCAACCAGTAGCTTCACTCCTTCGCAAGCCCAAAGTTCCTGTCCCTCGACGTGAAAGTCCATACCACACTCAGCCTCGAATCTTCGACAGCTATCCGCCTGGCCGCTAAATCAACTACATACAATCCTTTTTCGGAAAGAAACCTACATACCACCTTCAACTTCAGTCAAGATGTTCTCTACTACTTTGACCACCTTCCTTGCCGCCTCGGCCACCTTGGTCTCGGCCGCTTCCATCCCGATCCGGGACGCCGGCAAGTCCGGTTCATACAGCATGACGCCCCACGACTCCTACTCTTCTTCCATTGGTGTCCTCGGCTGCAAGATCGACACCAACCGCGTTGCCTACTGGCCCAACCCTCTCAGCTGCAACGACGTCTGCGTCAAGGTCTCCAACGGTGACCGCAACGTCTACCTCCTCCGCATCGACCAGTCTGGCGGTGCTTTCGACATCTCCTACGACGCCTGGAACTACCTCAGCACCGGCAAGTCTGCCACTGACGACCCCACCGTTGGTGGTGGTGTTCTCATGAACTGGGAGGCCGTCGATGCTAGCAAGTGCGGCCACCTTCTCAAGGACGGCAAGTTCCCTCTTTCTGCTGCCAACAGCATGAACTACCTGGCCTCCTGCCTCGCCGAGCCCGACAGCTTCGTCGCCAAGAACTACGCTCTCTACAATATCCAGAACCCTGCTTGCACCTGGGGTGTCGATGAGGTTTGCACCCTGGACCTGGCCGTCAGCAACCAGGCTGCCTGCCCCAGTGGCCTCGGCTCCGTCAAGGCTTTGACCACCCTCCCTGTTACGAACATTGGATACGGCACTGGCAAGACCGCCGTCGCTGTTCAGTGAATGCGTACAACAAGCACAGGTTGCTCAGAGATACCAAGATACGATGCTTACGAATATTTATGATACATGTACATACATTATAGAAAGGGACCAGAGAGAAAAATGGAGTTGGTTATCCTCACGATATCTGTCAATCGCTACGTGCCGTGATATGCGATTGGAACACATGTTGTCGAAGGAACTGAGTCAATTCCAAGAGCTCCGCCACGGGCTAGCTCCATCCTGCGCCGAATCATCGACAGGAGGAGATATTGAGTCGATCTCGCTCATTTAAAATGCCGATGATCAGAGCTTTAGTTTCTCCACCGAACTGCTGCGGATATCTACAAGCAAGCTATGACCATCCTCGTGTCGCTCTCAGATCTCGACAAGAATTGATTGTGGTCAAGTCTCTTGTCGGCGACTTAGACTAAAAGGTCCAAATAGGAAAGTACGGCCATAGCCGTGGACCTTGTCGTTGTCTCAGCCACATTAGTCTGTTGGAAACCGCTGATGCTGGCCTACGGCGCTGCCCGATTTTTTGGATTGCCGTATCCTTCAACTGCAGGGTATTGACTCGAGTTGGTGATCCGTAGATCTTTCTGCCGAGGTAACGTACTAAAGAGTGAACTACGGAGTACGGCAGCTCCGTGACGATGTGGCGCTCGTCACCTGTCTACGTACACCCATGCTTTTCACAAACTCATCAATATAAGTTTCCAGATGTAAGCATAACCATGAAGTGGAACGAGGTAATGTACATACGATACAGAAGGGCGGCGGGTAGTGAGTGCATGCCGCATGGGTGCAATAGCATTCACGAGACTTGATGTTTATAGCCTGTTGAGCCTGCATGGAAATACTGCGCAATCAAGCACTGTACTGCGCAACTAAGCACGATTCAGCCAAAGCAACTCTCTTTCGTGTTATTTTTGACAATTTCCGGAAATATCTCAACTTGTGGTTCAATACAGACGTTGACATCGGCAAGTTTATTTAGTGGATTCTAACGGCGAGCCACACCCTCGTTTAGTCATGTGAAAGCAACCTGCAGAAAGACAGTGACAACGGACTGCTGAAGCGTCGGTTAACATTGCTTCAAGTCCCCGAGTAATACGCTCATGTGAGCAACGGGACGCGTACTAGATTAGGTAGTGGACTAAAATAACCGAATGCTAACACGTAACTGACACAGGTCAAAAAGTCAGTCGAACCACTGGAGAAGGGACAGAAGCTCTTATTCTGGACTTGTAATTCAAGAAGTACCTTGGTGGGGATATGTAGAGCACAGCTGGTGGTAGGCTGAGCTGATCCCAGTCTGAAGTATTAACTCACTAAAGCTCGAGCAGACAAAACACCAGCGAAACTGCTTGTCATAGACAGTTTTTCTAGTCTACTGGAAACAGTGGCTTGTAGGTCAGTACATGTACTAAGAGGTCTAGTACTTATGAATCGTATATTATCTAAAAATCGCGATGCCAGTGACCAAGCAAGGTTTGTTTCCAACCATCCCCTTTGGACACGACCAACGACTCATTTTATTGCTAACATCCTTCAAGCACAATAGATAAAAATCAAAGACTATTCTAGGCATTTCTCTTCTTCAAATTATCCATGCATGCAAACCCTGTGTCGTTCCAGCTAAGTACCGCATCGTTGGGACCTCAACAGCAACCGCCTAGACGGACGAAGACACGGTAAAAGAGCAGGATCTCTCACTTCAGGATCTCTTATTTAGGATTTGTTACTTTAGTATATTGAGATAAAAAGGAAATAAGTTCAAGTTTATATAGGACATAGATTACTCAAGGAAAGATGAGGCCAAGATACTGGTTTGCGGAACAGTCCGTTCGTCCGCCGAAAAACGGAGGAATAGCCCGTTTTCGCGAGAGCGAGCAGAGGCATCGACCACACTAGAGTCACATAACGGCAAGTCAGCATTCCCGTCGCCCACTTTGCTCTTGGCTCATGTTTGATTCCCGGGAAAGTCCAGATCATGATTGGTCTGGTGTACCAAAGCCTAGACCATTGAGATCGGCCCATACCCATCTGACAGACTAAGCGGACGAAACCCAGACGCATAAGCCTTCCATTACCGCCAATGACGAATTGCAGATTGACAAGCTGTCTCTGCCGTTTGGTCACGGGAAGTGGGAAATCATCATGTGTCTTCGGGCTTTTGCAGACGGCCGTAGAAAGGGTTCATCTCAAAAACAAGACATCACTCTAAAGACGCCAAGGACCGGAGTATTGTCGACCTATGCGACAATGGGGTACTAGAACAATTCATCATCCGACTGTATGACAACTGCCGACTGATTGTACTGCGGTTTCACATCCACCAGCCCGGACTACGGTGAACACAAAACCCCGCTAGCCGCCAGCGACGGCCATCCATCGTCCTACTCAGTTTTGTTATAAAGCGACATTATACCTAGTGTTCTCTCTTCGCCTCATCTGATATCATACTTCCCGATGCAGACGTGGCGGCACTGTTTGAGTCTTGGACCCTACATAACTACTGTAAGATACCCCCAACCAACCCACAGGAACAGGCTCATCAGTGACAACAGCTTACAACGACAACTTCACCGACAACACGACACGATGCTTAACTCAACCTTCTCACACCGTAAAGCCCTCGTCCAGGATGACCCAAATGCAAAGGATGTTCGAACTACCACAACACCCAAAGCTCAAAATGGGAGCCTGGTCGAGAAGACCGCTGGAACCACTCGACAACATCGCTCAAGCTGGCCAAGCTTCCAATGGTGGCTTATGGCCATCCCATCATTCATCATATCAGCTTACGGCGCTGCATTCTTCACTGGGAATACTCCGGGCGATCCAAAAATCAAGGCGAGAATCATCAGTTCACTTGGAGGCGTGATCCACATCGGAGGCTCCCTCGTGGCGATGGGTCTCGGCCCGTTTCAGTTCCTCCCGCAGTTACGGCAGCAAAACATTCAGATCCATCGTTGGCTAGGATGGGTCTACGTCCTTGCCGTGACGACTGGTGGCATCGCTGCGTTTTACGTCACATTCAACAGCGAGGCGTTGCTATGGGGCAAAGTTGGGTTTGGCCTTCTCGCTTTGGGATGGCTTGAGACTGCTAGACGAAGCATCGTTGCCATTAGATCGAGCGGAGACATCAAGAGTCATCAGGCGTGGATGACGAGGAACTTTGCTCTGACGTATGCTGCGGTGATGCTGCGGTGGCAGTTGCCTCTGATGATCGCCGCGGGTATGGACGTCAGGTTCGCGCTGTCTATCACCGGATACATCTCTTGGATGCCAAATCTTTGGTTTGTCGAACGCTTTGTGCTGAAGAAGGATTCAGCATAGTCCACGGCGACAGTGGCGAGGAGACTATAAATTAAGAACGTGTAACTGACTCGTCGAATCACTGTTAACCCGAAAAGTCATCGATCATTATGGCCAATAGGATCTGGGTGTAAATATCCGGCTACAGGAAGGGAAGACTAAAACGGTGTGGCAGCGGAGTTGACTTATAGCGCGGCCCCTTGTAAAGCCGAGCAAAGGTTGAAAGGATTCAGTTGATAGGGCTAGCCGCACACAACTGATATCAATAACCAAATTGTATATTTTCGTTTTCTAAGTCTATCTACTCAACCGGCTCTACCTTCTTGACAACCTTGGCAGGAACCCCAACTGCGACTGAGTAATCCGGAATATCTCTGTTCACGAGCGCGCCGGCACCAATCGTGCAACCCTTGCCAATGTTGATTCCCGGCAATACTGTGACGTTCGCTCCAATCCAGCAGTCATCGCCAATGGTGATGGGCTCCGCATACTCGATGTTGTCTCTCCTGGACTGCAAGGCGGTCTCGTGGGTTGCCGTGATAAGACTAACTCCTGTGGCGAAGAAGACATTGTTGCCAATGGTCACATGTGCGCAATCGAGAATGACGCAGCTTGATAGGTTCTTGGTCAGGATTTTTTGTCCCAAGGGAGGACGTGACATACTTGAAGTTGGCATAGAAACGGTCTCCGACCGTAATATTGCAGCCATAATCAACCTGCAGGCTGGGCTCGACGTAGACATCCTTTCCAATACCACCGAAAAGCTCCTTAATCATGCCCACTCTCTTGTTGGCAACATCGTCTGCAGATTCGTCATCTCCCGGAACGTAGGTGTTGAATTTCTGAGCCAGTCGGCGGGCACGGTGTCTTGATGCTACCAACTCCGGCGCCATGCAGCTGTAAAGCATGCCAGAGACCATCTTCTCATAGTCGTCGCACCAGGGCACATGTTCGAGGGTCTTGGCGAAGGCAATGGCCTTATCATCCTTTTGCGTACGGATCGGTGGCACCATCTTGACTATTGGAAAGTTGACCAAGTGATAGAGAGGCTCGAGGTGAGATGTGACGTTGGGATACCGTTGTTGAAAACTGGCGTGTCACCACCTTAAATTGAGCCACCAAGGTGGTGGAAGCGGTGACTCCGCCAGCCAATTCAAGTACGAAAGCGAGGGAGAGCGCATGACGCTAAGTCTTTTGGCTGGGGAAACTTCCTCTTTTGGTAAATATCCCAACAGGTCGCGGAAGACTCCGCAAGCGCCTTCAAACTACGGGGTGCGGGGTTGAAGCATCTTGAACTTCAGACGACCTCCTCAATTTCGCGAAAAAGGTAGCGAGAGATGTTAAAGCTTCAACTCTTTTGGCATCAGATTGAAGACAGAGTACATTTGAAAGGAAATTCTAGCTTCTGGGTGGTTGCAACTTGCTGATTCAGAGATGTGGCACTGGAGCTGCTGACCGCACGTCATCTGACAGATTCTGTGCCATAAGCCAAGTCGCTGAGACCGATTGCCACGCCTCCGGAGCGCCGCACTTTGAACGAATGGTCAACCAACATGAGCTCAAGTGATCTCGGTGACTCGACGTAGAACCTAAGGATTGTATAGAAGACCGAGCTGGAAGATACTGAGCCACACTTCCTCAGCCCTGCCGGGCAAAAACGATTGTTCCGAGATCAGCGGTATTAAGCCACGAGATACCATCTTGGCTTACTGGATTGGGAAGTATGAAGTCGTTTTGAACCACCATCCTTGAGCCCCAAGCATCCATTATGGTGCCCGAGGCAGATACGGCAGAGTTGCCGACGTTCACGGCTTTCCAAGTCTGGGCAAAGGATGTATTTATGCTTATTTCTTCCCCAACTTTAACCGCTGTAACATCACCACACTAGTCAAGCAAGCCTGGATCATCAGTAAGTCACATCAAGCAAGACACTACCGGTATTCCACCTTTACTGATACAAATACCGTTCGCACGTTACTTCAAACCCATTCCATAAAATGTACGAACTCGTTTCCCTCGTCGACAAACGCATCGATAAACACAACCAAAAATCGCACAACATGCTCAGCACCGGCTGCGACGCAACACCCACGCCAACCGGCTTACCCTGCGAAGTCCTCCGTCAGGTGGAACGACTCGGTGGTGCCCAAACAATGATAGACCGGGTCGATCTTGCAAGCGGCTCTACAACACCATTTTACGTTCTTCACAGCAATAAGGAAAATAAAACCGTCGCGGTGTTACACGCAGACCCCCGTGCGCAGGCATCGGGTGAAGCGCTGGGCACAGCAAAATATCACTCCCTATCCTCGAAGATCGACGTCATTCTCCGCGGCATGCCGATCAAGATGAAGACGAACACGATGGGAAACTTGCACAGGTTCGACCATCAGGGCCTGAGCTACAGTTGGAGTGTCTCCAACTTGAGCATGTCGATGAACACGATGTACTTGAAAGATGCCGGAGGAAACCTGCTGGCGACATGGAAAAGGTACCCTGAAGGCAGGTTGAGCGGCATGGTTGGACAATCGTCCCCAACGTTTGAGGTTTACGTTCCGCCACAGAGTCTTGACATGGACATGGTAGTTGTAACGGGGTCCGCGGCGATTGAATACTGGCTGAAATACAAGAAGGATTCCTACGCAGCGGTAGGAGAGGCCTTTGGTGCAGTCTAATTCAGGGAGTTTGGATTCCTCAAACTACCTTAGGTGTATGATGACTTAAGTTTTACTATTTAGAGTGGCTAGATTGTGCATCAGGGAGGCAAGCGTGATACTTTGTCTAGAACTCAATTATTATAACGAAGCTATGGATGACGTCGCCAAGATACTCGAGCAATCGTTCTCTTATATACTTGAGTCAAAGAGCTTCTCGGTAATGGATTCAATGTTCTGTCAACCAACTTGAGACTTGCCCTATGTACAGGCGATTCCCTGTCGGCTGTCTAGAGTACAACGGGCAGTCATAAAGTATATCAAACCTAGAAGCAGAATCAGAGGCCAAGTTCCTAGGCTCCTCCTCAATCATACACGCCAATGGCTGTAGTTGACTTTTCTTCTAGGAGAGGGGACAGGTGACCGTTGGGCACAGGACCACGACTTGAAGAAGCGTGAAGTCAAAGACATCAAGATGCATCTTACGGGTAAAGGGCCATGAGCCAACTTGGGCGAACCGCGGTCAGGAGGGAATTTTGAAATAAGTGCGTTGCTCCTGGCGTATCCAAGGCCTTGATGGAATTAAAAGCAACGCTGTCAAAGTAAGCTGTGCTGAGAAGAGTTGGACCCCGAGTTTGCAACCTCTTTATGTCTCATGAGGCCAGACCGCGGGTATCACAAAGCCAATGAGCTCAAGTGCCAAGGGCACAATGAATTGATCATTGTCAACTTTGATATATTTGCACTTTTATGTCATTCCCATTATGGGTTAATTGTCGATTCAAAGAAGCAAACTGGTCTTGTCCTCGGTGGAAAGAGGCTTCTTACATGAGTGCCCCAGTGATGGATATAATTGACGAGACTAGCCGCTCCTGCCTTGCGCTTTTCATTGACACGTCTTCTTTCACAATCTTGCTCATGTTGCCACGAGCCCTCATCTCTGTCCCGCAGAAATCAAACTAACTCACAAAGCTAGCGAGAGCCCCCCTTCCCGTTCTCAAACCTGCTCCTTCCTTCTGCTCTGAAGGCCATTATAATTTATCTCTTCATCTTCACCCTCTATCTGTCTCGATATTTTTCCAGCTTTTCCATCCTCGCCCACTCCTCCTCTCTCGAGTCTCAACAACTTTCGTCGCAAGCTACCTCAAACAGCCATCACTGCCAGCTTCCCAAACTTCTCTTCTGCTCGTATCGTTCGAAGCCCCTTCACTTACATCAGCTACTACTCAAACTTCGGAGTCAACATGGATGAGTTTTGCGTCCGTCTCCTCTCCTACTTCGATCGCGGCATGGACGGCAAGCCCGGCCGCTGGCCTCACTCACTCCCTTCCCCCGAGTACATGGCGGGCGCCGGCTTCCGCTTCCAGAGCGACCCGAAAGACAAGGGCGACATCGTCACTTGCGACTTTTGCAGAATGCAGGCGTGGGCCTGGGAGCGAAAGGACGACCCGTTCGCGCATCACAAGGAGTCTAAGGGCTGCGAGTTCATCGACAGTGACATCTTCCACCAGCATCATGACAGCTTCCTCCGTAAGAAGTCTGAGGGCCACAAAGCGGCGGACTCTCTCTCCAGCCCCCCTCCTACTCCAACGAAGAAGTCACACAAGCCTCGCCGCAAGTTGGTCTTGTCCCCCATCGTCACCGTCTATGACAGCGTGTCTACCGAGGAAGCGGACCGTAAGACCGTCAACGACAACAAGCCTGTTGAGATCGCGGTCTCCATTGGACAAACCAAGATCGTGATCCAGGTCATTGACGATAGCGAGAGAGGTTAGTTCCCAGCTTCTACGCAGATCCTACCCTCCACGATGCTAACAGCCTGCGCAGGCACCAAGAGAATCCGCCTCGAGTGAGGGAGCTCCGTGCTTGACGCTCATCGACAGGCATCACAATTGTTGCACTTACTACGACTACCATTACACTTGCTTCTTATACTCTCGTACGTCTCACCTATCCCGGCTTGCGAAACACCCGGCAGTACTAACATCTCGCGCTAGTATATCAGAGACTGATTTGCTACATTATCATTAACATTCCGTGCGTGGACACGTGGCGAAGAGTCTATCAAGACACAAGATCACGAGACGAAGAGGGCACAACGAGACGCATCTATCGCATTATGCAGAAGGATCATCGCCCTCCAATCGAGCCAGAGAACTCGGAATATCTTGTACAAAACCAATGTCATGTGCCCACAAGCCAGAGAACGATATGGACGAAAGGGTTATGAGATATGAAATGGAACTTGCCCAGACGAGCAAGTACGAAACTTGAGGATGGCTTCTAGGAGGTCAGTCCACGGCAGCAGTCACCAAATATCAGTCATCAGCTGTATATGGACAGAGCCATCAGAAGACTTGCCCAATGGTGGCGAGACGGAATACATACCCTCGTCATAAGGCAACAGTCTCTAGGTAGCCAACAGATATCTGTATCATTCACTCATCCAAGCCTACGTTCTGAACAGCCTACATGACATTACAAACTTGGGTGGCAAACATGCGTATTGACTCCTTGCTCACCCGTGACATCGGAGGAAGGCAGCCTCCCCAACTAGATCCTTCCTGTAGATGAGACCAGCGCCTCAGCCGTCCCCAGGTCTCACAGATCACCTCCTTCCTACTCACCGTCACAATCCGCATCCAAAAAGGCCTATGGGGGCGATATGATGGACAGGCGATGCACGAAAGGCAAGACATATCATTCAAGTGCCGACTGGGAACACAGCACGCGGGGGATGGGAAGGGCTGTCGCGTCGGTGTCCGCGGGCCGTAAGACATTAGCACAGAAACGTGGGTGTGTGACACACACACACACACACACACACACACACACAAATACCGACAGGCTATCTCTGACGAGGCTTACTTCATTGTCTGCTTGAACATCTATTAGTTGCTTGATATCCTGCATGTGGTATCAAACGAGAGCGAGTGGGCGAGTGGCCCGTCATTATGAGCGCAGTGACGCCGGCAGGAATCTGCGCCGCAGCCACTAATCCCCCAACTAGAATTTCAACGTCGCGATGTACTTATTCAAAACAATATTAGCCACCCACAGGCTCGTCTCAGTCCGGTCGGAGGATCTTCAACAAATGCTGGACGCAAAGCAAGGTCCCTCTGTGGTCAGAAATGTGTCGAAACAGGCCCTTGATCGGCGCGTGTGGTGGCTCTCAGGGTCCGTGAGATGTGCCTGTTGGGTGTTCCTCAGGTAACTCCCGGTCGGGTGCTTCTGTAATATGTTTGGTCAGCGGTCAAGTTTCCACGTCGTAGTAAGGTAAGTAAGGCAAGGTGTTAGCGGCCATCCGCAGCGGCGAGGCGGGTTCGTTCCATTTAGCTCAGGTTCCAACGTAGGGCCAGGCGTAACCCGTACTACGAATGGAACGGCTGTCAGGCGGTGCGGTGTGCTGCGGGCTGTGCGGGAGCGCTCGTGATGGCCGCACCGCCGGGTGACAGGACGGGCGACTGACGGGTGACGGGGTCGGTCAATGACCTTGGCCATGTTTGACGGTCGCCAAGATGTAGGTAGACTTTTTTGTGAGACGAGGTAGCTTTCGCCCAGACGTATTTAATGAGGCAAAGGGACTGCTTGTTCTGTAGTATTAATGAGGCTTTGAGCATTGTGTAAACGATACGGATATCAAGAGAACAAGCACCAAAGTAAATCACGAGACCGAGACGATAAGCTACAATGACAACCGTCAATCAGTACCAACGTAATGGCAGATCAGGCCGCTCGTCGGGGCGCAACCCGCTCCGTACCGTCTGGCGCGAGACGTACGAGGTCTGGGATGGGGTCTGCTACGGCGTAGGGAAGGCCTATTTCAAGATCACCGGCAGATGGTGATAAGCCATGGGGCAGGCAACACGGCCGGCAGACGTATGGATGCATCGTACATCATTGCATTCCAATACCGCTGCGACGGGCCCACCGGGAAGTGACGAATGACGAACAATAAACGAATAACGCGCCTAATGATTAACGACAAACGACAACCGGAGACGAGATGATAGATGACGGAGCATCAGGGGGCCAGAGGAATCAAGCATTTCGAGTGTTCCGAGATCAACATTAGGGAACCACAAGCACGATGTTGACAGGAACCACCCACCATTCACCAATCCGACAAGGAAGGGAAGGCCAGATTAGACCAGGTCGAAAGAAACAACACGTCAGGGCGGATGGGAAGATTGGCATCGACAAGCTGCCCACCGATGACGTCGGGCCTGGGAAAATCTCGATCAGCGCCGCAGACTCCAGAGCGCAGTGTCCTCTCTTGGCACTGTGGCAGATGGTTCAGCTGGAGGCGGACTCAGTGGTTCCCCATCAACTTGACACGGACTTGAGGGGATCATCCTGCCAGAGTGGGTCCCTTCAAGGCTCAAGGTTTTGGTGACGCCGGGAGGGAATGGGACGGTCGCTGGTCGGGTGAGCCGGGGGGAGATAGGTAACGAGGACTTGCTTGAGGATAAGACGCGAGAATCCGAGGAAAGAATTTCGAGAACGCGGGAGCTGCGGACACGGCGGAAGGGGATCCCGCTGGGTAGCCGTGGGATGATAGCCGGGTGGGATGGATGCCTTTTGCGATTTGGATCATTTGAATGAGTGTGAAACGGGGCGCGAGCGACACCGAAACGATCTTCCATCGACGGTGAACAAGAATAGCAAACGAACGCGGTACGAGAAGACGACAAGGGGAATGGGGGGGGGGGGGGGGGGGGGGGGCTGCAACGGAGTGTTGGCCAACCAGGCATGCCATAGGGACGAACAGAACAAACATACCTCAATGTATTGGAGTTGCACTGCCGCAGACAACGTCGCATGGAATCCATAGAATAGAAGATCCGAATATACGATCAGCAAGACATTGTTGGTTCTTGAGTTCTGATAAACGGGTACGTCGATACGTCGTCTAGTACTTCGTACCGATAAACGGGCCAAAAGCCTCACTCATGGGGGAGACAAGATGCAAGACGGGTGAGGGAGAAGCAAGCAAATCGTTCGTCCATCGTATTGGCTTCTTGCGCGGCAGATGAACCAGTGTCGAGCAGCCCACATAAACCACAATTCTGTCGTTGGAAAATCGGGGCGGCGAGCATAAAGGTGATTCCAGATTGAGATTCGCACGACCGGGTTTGATGGTTTGATGCCGGGCCCTGAACCAATGCCAGCGGCGCATCTCACTTTCAAACCAGGACCCTCTGGCTTCTCTATGGAGACTCTCTGGAGACTCTCTGGGTGTCTGGGTCGTTTAAGCCTGGCGCTAGGCCGAGAGTAAACAACTTAGAGTAGGCCACACCAAAAGAGAGTTAATTGGACTCCCGCTTCGCCGGTCCTATTTTTGTTGCTCTTCTTGCAAGTTGGCAAACTGGCGAGTATCCGTACGTATTCCAGGTTCCAGGCTAGTATATGCTGCCAGCACCAGCACTGTACCGGAAAACCCATCGAGTCAGGGAACATGGCGGTTAGCGCTCGCTGCGCCGCTGGTCAAAACTAAGAGCTTTTACTGTGTAGAAGTAGCACACCCACAGCCTGTAGGTGTGCCTCCGAGCCTCGTATTGGCGGCGGCGAGGTGAAAGTTTCGCCTCTGGGGCTGTGGTTGACAGTTTGTCGATGCGCTGCTTCATCGACAATCGGAGAATTCGGTCGGTCCCCATCCGTCCCGAGCTGATGGTGAAGCTGCCCATCATGCGTTGGCTAGCTCAGCTCGATCTAAGTTTGCCCTTCAGTAACTAAGGGTAGTGAGGCATCCATGAAGCAGTCAAGCAAGGATACGAGAAGATTGCGCATCGCTTTGTCATAGGACGCTCGCCAGAAACATCGGTCCGTCTGGGTTCGAGTGCAGCGAGACAGCCACAGCCGAGCGCTGCGAGTCTGATGGATCGATGTGGGATGACTGGAGGAACAGACGAATAGTGGGATGATTGGCCTGAAGGTCTGGACCGCCGCTGCAGTCAAACCGTGTACGGAGTACCGAGTACATTTGATAGAAGTTGGCGGTGCATCTGCTGGGGAGTCTGAGACTGGTGTTGCTCTCTGGTTTGTTCTACTCCTGCATTGCACAGAGTATTGGGTTGCCCATTGTAACATTATCTGTGGTTCTCGCTAGAGATTTGGGCTTTTTGGCGAGTGACACCTCGGAGGCTGATATTGATAGTCGAGTTGGTCATGGTGGAGAAGATAACAAGCAAGCAATGCCGGAAATTGATTGCAGTGCCAACAACAAGGAGACTGTGTCCGTATCTGGCAGACAAGGTTGAAAATTCTTTTAGACCGCGCCTATGTTCGTCTTAAGCATCTTGGATTGAGCTGGGCAGAGTCGGTGGGAGTTTGTCGTGATAGACCTGAGGGAGAAGATCACGCTGGGCAGCGGCTGGGCGGAGGGGAGGCTCTGAAGTGAAATTGACTTTTCGCCTGGTTGTGCGCTGCGGGACTTGACAGCGGGACGTGATGGCGACTGAGTAGTAGTGAGGCGCAGAGGACGAATGACAAGATATGCCAATGCTGAGAGGTGAATGACCTCTTGGCAAGCCAAGTCGAAGAGTTCTTAGTTTATCTGCTGAGGCCAAGGATGGTGATGGTTGGCGCTTGGCGGTACACGATAGCCTCCCGTTGTTCGTCGACCTAGTAGGCGGAGACAGGCTGTAGCATTTCGGCGACTTGTTAGTCTATCCGTACGGAGTAGAGGCTAGGAGACTTGGAGTCTTGGACACTCGAGGGAGGACCAGACGAGGGGCGGCGGCTGGGTCGTGAGAAGATGAGCCCGGCGTCCGCAAGTCCCGGTCTGGAAGGTCAGCCGGTTCTCCAGGCCGAAGCTCACCTTGAGTGGAGATTGCCCCTATTTCTCGCTAATTCACTAACGGCCTTGGTGGATGAGGCGGTGGACCATGGCCCCGGCGGCTACAGTGTGAACCGGGGGATCGTTTTGAGTGCTACGGCTCAGCGTTGGTTCGTGACGGCGTCAGAACCTAGAAGAGAATGCTGTCGAGGTGGGTAGGTGGGAAATGCAGTGAAGATGAGGCCATAACAATTTTGTGCGCGAGATACCTGGAGAAATGTTAGTCAGGTATGTGAGCGTCATAGGGTCGATAGGATTGGCCTCTTTCCACACTGTGCAAAGTCTCTCACAACCTTGAAACGAGATGAACATGGCCCAGGCGGTTCCCGGCGTGCATCCACGGTACGTATCTCGTGTCTCTCTTTTTTTTTTTTTTTTTTTTTTTGCGCAGAGAAGAAGGTTCTTAGGTAAGACATTCCTTTAGTCCGTAGGTTCGGTTGGCAGATGCATGTCGAGTGCAGATGCTAATTTGGCACTGGTGCAGGTACCTCGTGATTCAATAGCGTCGCGCAGTGGCTTCAGGTACCGTCGCATCTCTTCTGCTCGTCTCGTCCAAAGAATGAAAATGAAGATGCAGGCAATGAATAGTTGGGTGCTAAGACGACTGCGCCTCGCTCTCGCGCCGGCTAATCGTGTCTGCAGTCTGTTGTCTGAATATGTGTGCCAATGGTGTATCCAATAAGCGGCATCAATTACTGGATGCAGAGATGGATTTGTGTTGATGTTTGGTAGCGCAGGTAAGGTATTCACGAAGGGGTACGGAGTATCCAATTTGCGCATCGAATACGGGAGGTTTGCTCAATGAATTGGAAGAGAGCGAAATTGGATGAAAGCTGAAGACTGAACAGTACGGATAAACGGTGACAAAAAAGAGGGAAATAGAGATTAGAGAGGGGAGTGGAGGGGGAGAGACTCTGAGAAGAGGGCAGGGGGGGAAAGCAAG